TAACCCCAATAGAACCCTAACATTATTTGTTTTTGGAAGGGCTGGGTTGCCTCATTTTCCCTTCCAGCGCCAGGCGCACTTGGACCAGCAGATGGCAGCCATGACACAGCTTACAAAACAAGTGCCCCAGGAGTGGTGGCCCAAAGGGTGAGTGTTTGAGGTTAGAAAGAGGAGATCTCAAAGAATCCGTATATAATGAAACATGCCGATATTGAGGCTAGTTTGGCTTGGAAAACACGGCCTTGTGAGATCATGCTGTGTAAGCTTGTCTCATGCTGGACCTAAGATTGCGGAAGGCGTGATTGTTCATCTGCTCACGTTTTTGAGTTGGTTTGTTCTGCTAGAGCTTGCACACGTAGCTGCCAGGACGACAAAGGAGGCCCAGAGGACGACTTCAAGATGCCAGAAACGTTGAAAGAAGGGGTTCAGTTGGTCCCGTGGCGCTGACATTCAACACTGTCTTTTGGTGCTTTTGTCTTGGTCCTTAGAGTCTTTGCGGGTATTGTGGGTGTAGCAGGTGACGTTCACTCACAAACAGCTTGAGGCCAAGCGCCACAAAGGGATCACTTCATTTATACTCGTGTTCCTCGTGCTCTACCTCATACTGGCCATATACATCTCCAACTGGCTTTCCAAAGCGATCATGCAGCGCTTGGCAGAGCAGAAGCTCTAGCATGATCCAGGGGGCAGCGGTTCTGCAAGACAGAAGCCATCAGCATCCTCAGCCTGGAGCGATGCCCTGCTCAGGGTCTCACGCATGATCATGATCCTTGGCAGGATAAAGCGAGGTGTGACATGGCAAGAGCCAGAACCGTAGCCTGCACCATTTCAACAGCTGTACCCTGGCCGAGGAGATGTCTCCACCGCAATCATTTGCTACTTGCGTAGGAAAGACCAAGCGTTGGCATTCCTGCTGAAAAAAGCATATCGCTCCCACTTGTTACTCAGACTGAGCTTGTTGCGGTCGGTATACACTGATTGCTGACGCTGCGCAACAGCTGCTGTGTTTGTCATTCCTACCCAGTCTCCACATGCCGTCCAGCTGTGGCAGAGTTTCGCAGAGTTGCGCAGCCAGAGCTCTTGCGAAGGGTGTGGTTGAGGGATGCGGATAGGATTGATCAAGCACTGCACTACCGCGGTCTTCCAGCATGCTCCCTCAGGTGTACCTGGAACTTGCATGGCAATCCCATAGATCCCTCTGACAACATCGAGAGGTGGTTAAGGCCGGGGAGTTGGGACCTGTGTTCCCAATAGCCAAAAACTGCATTGCCCCTGTTCTTGTTCTGACATGCGGACAACATGAGATAAGTCAGAAGTTGCAAGCGCTTCTCGCTCTGGAGTCAACGCCTGCCTGTGTCAGCAAACCGGACATGCCTGCATGGGTTCGGCATGGTTCGCAGAGCGCACAAGTTCATTTGCCAAAGACCCTTTGATGAATTTCGTGAAGCGTCACAAAGGGCATGTGCCCTAACAAACTTGAACTTCTCCTCTAAGGCCACCAGCGTCCTTCAACGCAGACACCTCAGTTGGCACAAGTAGCTTGCAACCGTTGTGGCAGGCCAGATGAGGATGGTGCGGACGTTATTGTCGTGGGCGTTCAGGACACTGATTTTACCAGAGAGAAGTAAGCGAGCAAAATTGTGAGACTACGGTGTTGCTCCACAAGTTTGCAAAGGAGCTTGTGGACCTTGGCCCCAAGACTATGGCTCAGAACTCGGGCATGGGAGGATAAAGCAGCGGTGGTGCCATGCTGCCCTGAACAGTCAAGTTAAACAAGATCATGCTGCTTTTGCTGTTATTACGGGTTCCAACACTCTCGCCCCAAATGCGCAGCACGCCCATCCGTCTTACTTGGAACTTGTTAGCTCGGAGGTGTTGAACACTTCTGGCGATGAGCAGCGCTTCTGCCTTGGATCATCCCTGTGAAGTTCAAGTGCGAAAAAGGGAATGGAGGTGAAAACCAGGAATCACAGAGACCATAGAGACGCTCGTGCCTGTCTTTCAGGTCCAGTACTGGAAGGACCCTCTGCCATTTGAGCATAATTATTGCACAAAGTGCGTTTGCCCAACTTGGATTTGCGTCGTATACTTACACAGTGAAAACCTTCGCAAGACATCCAAATCATCCTCAATTTTGGCCCCTGCCAATCTACAGTGACAGCGCTGAATGGGAAAACATGTTTACGTGAGCAGGGTGGTCTGCCTTTTATTCTAGAAGCGTTTGCAGCTTTTGGATGTATCGCGCCAAGCAGTACGATGCAAACATGCACGGGAATTGACTGCATTGATCAGCGGAGGTCAGGCAGCCCTGGAATCCCGCGTGGAGCCTGGCTCCCAGTCAGAAGAACAGTAGTCGTAGAAGAAACTTGGCCAACTCGAATTGCAAGATCGAGCTTATTCTGTGCATTACGAGAGTAGTTTGAAAGCAGACGGTCCGTTGCGGCTTTGGTGAAGGTTCTTTTGGGGAGGGTTTTGCCGGCTAAGCATGTAAGGGCAGGAGCTATATGCACGTGACCTTTGACTTTAACGGAAGGCTCATTTTGTGGCAATTGTGGAATTGGGGCTTGCACTTTGGGGTGGTTCAGCCGGCTGTGGACTCACAGGGTTTCTTTAAGTCGGAGGCCTCGAACCGGCGGAGTTGGGTGGTTCGGGGCGGGCATTGGCAGTGGCGGTGTCAGTGGCACTGCTGCAGCGGCAGAGGCTGGGTTTGCGGCGGCGGCCGGGGGTGGGGGTGGTAACACGCGCTGTAGTAAAGACCGTGGTACGAAGTAGCAGCACGTGGTACCAGTAGCAATAACAGCAGTGGTAACAGTAGCACCGTGGGTAGCTAAAATTACAAGGACACTAAGACTGAGAAGAACACAGGTTCTGGCCTCAGCAGCCAAGGCAGATATGTCAGGTGTTACTGTTTATCAGCAGTAGTCGCCATATGAGAGCAGCAGGGGCAGGGGTACGAGCAATAGCACGGTCAGTACTAGCGCGTTTGTTTTGGGCATTGCAGCAGCTGTTTCACGTTGAGTCTCGTTCAGGTTCATTCAGAGGAGTCCCTCTCCTGAAGATGTGATCCCCAAATCATTTGGCAGGGCAAATTGGCCTCGCTTCCTTCAAAAAATGGAATTGGCAACCATTGTTTGAAATTCAGCCCCGAAACTTTCTGTGATTGCGGATCCGCATCAGAACACCTTCCAACCCTACTCAGACTTAGCTTCATATAAGCTAACACAACTGCAATGGCGGGCGTTGCAATTCGTTTCTCAGATTCGCACTGTCCAAAGTGCAGGTGACTTGCACCGACCAAGTCACCATCACCGTTATATACCTTCGCTTCTCCTGTTTTTTATGACGACTCCTACCCTGTTACCGTGTTACCACCTCTTCATTCGACACCCAGGTAGATGATGCTGTTTTGACATATTGAGTAAGCTCTTTATCATGTACTAGTCGTAAGACTTCACGCCCAGGCAAGCGCTGCATCCACCAGGCCCGTTGTCCTGGGTCATGTGCATCTTTGGTGACTCCGCCGAAAGTATAGGAAGAAAAATGTAGCACCAACAAGGCAGAACCTTGGACACACCGATGAAACACGCAAGCCCTAGTGAGTCGGAAAATCAGCTCCGGATATGTCCAAGGAAGAAGCCGCATAATGTACTTTGGATTTTCTTTGCATACCGAAGTTTGTCAAGGCTGATGGCCTGTCCCTTGCTTGATAAGGGTTGCCTCTGGAGTTCCAGGTAGTCACCGTGTCTTCATGAAACCAAGCTCCACCACAGCCTGAGACAATCCCAAGTTCTGTAGCCATCCCACCGGATCCCAGACCTCGCTATCCAGTTTGCAGGGAGCCAGGCCTCCTACATCAAGATCTGCAGTTTCGGCATGGTCGGCCTCGTCGCTGGCTCAAAAGATGACTTCACCATCTTTGAGCCAAGGTAGAGGTGTTCTTCACAGGAGCGCATATTGTATCTACATGAGTTGTTCCCCCTTTCACTTCTTCGCGCCGCCCTGGGTAGGCTACTTGGTAATCACTACCAGGATGTGCAGGGCCAAAACTGTTTAAATCGCGGAAGCAGTAGGATCTCTCTGATAATCATGTGGAGTATATGTGGAAAATTTGTATGGCCCATGTGCATACTTTGAGAGGTTGCGTGTAAATTTTGTGGGGCAGTGGGCGGCGCAGTCCAAACCCTAAAGCATCACCACAGATCACAAGGGAAATTACTAGTAGCAGTGATGAAACATGTGATAGATGACCTGATCATGCCATCAAAGATGCTGCTATAAGGCTGTTGCTGATTACGTCGGATCGGCTTTGCTGGGTGGGCTGAGACACGGTACGGTCCTCCTTCAGAAAGACCTGATCATCTTGCCCAAACAGGATGCTTCAGAGCTTAGGGCGTACAGCATTACAGCCCGAACTGGGCGGATATCATTCAGAGGTGCAGCTCCACCAGCACCCTGTGTTGATGTTGTCCGGGGCATTGACTAGCTGATTCAAGACAGTTTTTGCACAGCTGCTAGCCAGAGCCAATCGTAGGATTACGGTTTGTTGGCGTGCAGCTTGCTCAGATCCACTTACGTGAGGGGTGAAAGTGTTTCGCAAATCCACCACAAGGGTGACGAATTCAAATCATGCTTCAAAGTGGAAGAACTCATTGCTGGGATTTCGCGGTTTCTGTACCATGCTTGCCCGCTTGCATGACTTGCTCTGCGCATGCACTCGAGGCCCTGCTGATCTACATTCAACCCTGGCTGCGGCCTGGACCTTTGACTATCTACACCAAAGAAAGGAAGCAGAGAATCAAGGCCAATGTGCCGGGTCATATGTGGAGGGGAGGCCAGGTGATGCAGAAGTTTGCGCTCATGGTTATGCGAAGAACTCCAGACAGTCTGCAAACAGCACGCGCCTCTACAGCACTGCGATGCCCATACCAAAGACGCGTTGTTTCCTCACAAGGGGCCCAATAAAACAGAGACAGGATTCTGCAACATGCAAGGCCGTGTGTGAGACAGCTGCGCATTGACAGGGTCAAGACAGGCCAGATGCTGTTTGGCAACTATCGGGTACTGTGACTGTCCCTGTACTGAACGTGTAGAACTCACCTGGGGAGATGAGGTTTTCACAGAGCCTTTACTACAGTCAGCTACGCATGTAGGTCATGCTTTGTGGTGCTACACTTATTTCATCTTATTTCCGTGATCAAATCTTAACTTTAATTGCTGCGGCAGCCCTTGGTGCTGACATGTGGTTCGATGCCAGAGGCGATGAACACCTTGCAGGGTAGCTGAGACGTCAATTCTGGATGTTGGGGCATTTGGGCATATGTGGGAGGCTTGGATGGCATCGGCGGCAACAAAGGCGGTGTTTGCGCCAGGCGTGTTGGTTTTGCTAGCTTTCATATTGGTTGCATAGGTCTCGGCTGAGCACAACACAGAACAAGAGCAAGTGATGAGAAGAGAGGACCGTCACAAGTTTGGTAAGGACGAAAATGTTAGCCAGGAATATAGTACCAACTACAGCACTATTGGTAGCAGCAACAACGTTAGCATATTGATTTTAGGTCACGTTACCCCATGTTTGCAAAAGCTGCGCTGTTCCGACATGTTGCGATAGGGATGTGCACTTGCAGGTTCCTTCTCGGACCTCTTTCGGCCGGCAGCCCAAACTCTGTCTGGTAGTTCAGACATTTATGCGCCAACTCCTGTTTGAGGCTACGTAAAAGAAGGGCAGCTGCTCTCGGGTTCACTAGCATCTAGTTTTCTATGTCATTTCAAAAAATGTTTCATGAGTTCGGCAGCTGCTCACAAGGTAAGGCATCATCCGGAATGCTTGTGTAAAGGGTCTGGCGCTCTGCTTGCCACTACTGCTGCCATTTGCGGCGGCTTGATTTTCAAGGTTAGACAGGGAGCCTAGGATACCTGAAACTCACACAGCGCTGTGTACAGTCTCAGAAGAAGCAGGAGAGAGATCAGATCCAGGGCAGAAGCCGAAGATGCAGCATACCATGCTTGTTCTAGTTGATGAGATAAGACACAGCCACGCCCACAGGTCTGTGCTGTCAACGTCCATCTGGCCTCAGGGCAGCAGGTGCGAAGCCTCCGCCTGCTCCAGCTGCATGAGCCTAATCTAATTGCAGATCTTTCGTCGCTGCAGCAGTGTATAGGATCCTGGGACATGTTACCCTGCATATCAAAATGCCCGGCTTTCAAGCATGCCTGCCTTTGTCTCAGGTCGGATTCTCTAATGACATGTTGACTTACAATACTAGAGCAGCCAGTTCTTGTCAGGCATTTCGAAGGGAAATGTGCCAAACAGCCAGCTATAAGGTTTCTAAGAACTGTCTACCAGATTTTGCGTTGCATCAGAAAAGCAGCAGCAATGTCCGCACTAGGGTTCCAGGACCTTGCGCTACTCAATTGCTGCCAATACTAACGCTTCCTTTGCATTGTTTACTGTCGGGTTGCGTGCTTTGAGCTTAATCCTGGCTACAGAGCTTGTTTTTCCGCCAAAGTCTGAATTGCCCAAACAGGTGTCATATTGGCTTGTGCATGATAGCACAAGTGAGAACAGCTGGCGAGAAAACCCTTAACCTTCAGACCCAACAGCTTTTGGACGCATGGCGCTGGCGCTTGGTGTGGGCGTGGTTTTGCAGCTCTGTCAAGGTGCGGACCCCAATCTTTCTTTACATGGCTTCCAGGTCAGGGGTATTCCTGTGGGGCAGCGCCTTCTCCAAACACCATGCGCCCTACCGTAAACCTCAGACTAGCAACCAACGCTTATTTCGAGGATTGCATGTAACTTCTTGCCCCGCTTTGCGAATTGGATAGTAGGATTCCACAGGGGCTCTGGGCTTTTGAAGCTTAGATTAAGGTTGCCTCTCCGTGCCCGTCCTGCTAACTGAGCTGGCTGCTGCCATGGCACAGCGCATGGATGCTGTTCGCATTCATGTTTATCAGCACAAAACAGTATTTCACAACAGCTGGCACGAGCCCAGGTCTGAACTCCCGCATCCACGGTCTCATACAGGAACTAATAGGGAATGGTAATCATACATCCCAAACATTGCCCTGCAGACTACCAGTTAGGGCATCTTGGCCAAGCGGTGGCTCATCTCGACTCAGAGGGACAGGATTGGACAATCACCATTCATAATGAGGGTCTATAGACTCATAATTTTCCCACCCTGGGGCTGTGACCCTTCTTGCCTGGACTCTGACCACTTCACTCACTGTCCAAAGGGCTTAGCACAAAGCGCCACGGGTAGCCATGACAAAGTAAATGAAGACGAAGCTGTGAGGCATGTCTGCCTGGAGCCTGGCGTCTGGCCGCCACTTTGGCTATTGCCCCTGCACCTGCCGCGAATCTTCCTGAAGGGGGCAGGCTTTCTGCGCTTCAGGCTCACAGGTCCTTGTGCGTGAGCTTGGTAGTCCAGGCTGCAACCATTAGCCTTGCTGCGAACCAGCACGGTGCAAAAATCGGACGAGACCTAGCATTTCGTGTTACGGAAGTCCACGCGAGCGCATTCACGACAAAGGAGAAGCGAATTCAGTTCTGCGGTTAGGGGATTGCTGCGCATTGCGCAGGCCGTGGCTGAGAGGAGTCAACACCTCGGCCAGGCCTGCCCCGCGCTGACCCTGATGCAAATGGGCAGATGCGGTCTCTCTCAAACCCTGATCTGCCAGGTTCTGACAGATGCGTTTCAGAGTACATCCTCCAAAGGAGCATCTCGGCCGCACAATAGGTTAGCAGATGCACCCGAATCTCACTTCGAGGGGAACGTGTGAGATGATATGAAAGGTGGCGCGGCCCGGGTGCTCACATGTTTCTAGGAATTGTCTGCGTCAGCTTGTCAGTAGAGCTCATCTGTGGTCAGGGGATCTATCGCTGCAAGTGCTTGCGAGTATAGAGTGCTTAGTGTTCGGCTCAAGGCACTGCGCCCTGCCAAGAATGGCTTCGAGTGGAAGCCCGAGCTGTGGCGATCAAACTCTTCCCAAGATCAATGCAGCCACACCACTTGAGACTTGGCCGCTCGACATGCCATAGGTAAACGGCATCTGCCAGATCCGCATCGGTCATGCCTTCTCGCTATGTTTGAGGCGCACCTCCACATACCGTGTGTCACAGCGCGTGCCTAAGCATTTGGAAAGCATGGCAAGAAACAGGAAACCAGCTGGTTGTAAACAACACACTGCACTCGCAAAAGATTAAACTCTTCTACTGCAGATGTTGGCTAAAGAACTTCCCTCGTTGTATCTAACCAGTTAATCAGCAATCACTGACTCCTTCAATTTCACTGCTAGCAAAGCGGATATAGCTGTATTGTACAATTTCGATCCACTCGCGCTTTCCCTTGTCTCCATTCACCGGATTTCAGGGAAATGTCATCTCGCAGCCATCTTATCGAACCTCTTGCTCTAAATTAGTGGACCGTCGTGAGCCAATCATGGCACCTCTGCTCAAAGTTGTGGCCACGGGCTGTTGGCTTTGGTACCTGGCAGCCTCGGACCCGTCAGAGTGCGGAGCCAAAAGCAGTGGATCCATGCTTCTGCAGTCTCAGACTTCCGTCTCACGTTCTTGGTTAAACAAATCGGCTCGAATGCCGCCAAACGAGAACTGTTGCGATGATGCTGGCGACTCTAGCACGTGCAATGCCTTGCATGGAGTTCCCTTCGAATATGAAACTGTTCAAGTTGGAAGCACGACTATGATGCGAATGAAGTGTCCTAATCGTGGGAGCGACTGTGCCTTCGATAATTGCGTTGGCGGTACTGGGGTGGACTGTTCCGGCGTTCCTTACGATCTCAATTTCGGCGTCATGGGCACTATATCTGTCAACCTTGTGGCACCACAGGACATGGGCGACGGAACAGTCAAATTGAAGACAAGCGTGCCTTGGTCTGCTCTCAGGTGATTTCCATACCCTGCAAAACCGCTTTCTGTGAGCTGGCACTGCTGCTCCTTCCCATTGTGCCTCAACACTCACGTTAACGACTTTGGATCCCATCAACCTACAAACCTCTCCACACACCCCCGATCCTGAATTTCAAACAGTATGAGGTCGGCTCAATCCTGCACGACCTGTGTTGTATGAAGTACCAGTCTGGAGCTTTCTGCCATAGCAGCAACTACCCCATCGGAGCGACCATCAACGCCCTTGGCAATGCCAATAACGACTGCGCCTGTCTCATGGAGTGGCGCAAGGCTGCGTGGAACCTACTCCGAGGCCTGGGGGCTTATACACTTAACGGAGGGAACAGGAGCTAGTAAAAGTGGAAGAAGCTTGGTCATTACCAGCTTGTGCTTTCGAAGCGGACTGCTTAAGCGTCGCTCGGGGCACCATTTTTTACCATCCTTTGTATGCTGCCTCTGCTCTTGGCGCACAGGTCGCTATTGGTTGGCCACGTTTGACAAGGCTGCTCAAAGCCAGGCTCGCTGCTAGGGCTGAGATGTCATGAGAGAAGTGAGGGAGCAACAGGCAACGTCGCAACTTCCGTGCTGATTTATGCGTCGTTTCGGAAGCTTCCTGCTTTTTGTCAAGCTGGTAATTTCTCTGTAGTTTTCCTGTAGCCGGCCGTACATTCCTTTTTTTGTCAGGATATGACACTGGTCCCAAATTTGCAGCGTAAGTCTGCCTCTCAGGTTTTCTGTGCTTGAATGATCAACAAGGTTTCCAGAGGGTGCTCCCTCCCAAGGTCTTACCTGCCAAAGGGTTCCGGGACCAATTACGAGAGCTACAAAAGCACGTGGGGCCTCACGGAAAGGACAGCTGGCACGTGCGAGTATTGACGCCAGAAACCGAGCAGCAGACATTACTGCAAGCTGACAGCTAGATTCCCCTGCAGGAAAGCCACTTCCGTCCTCTGCGCGCCCGCGGGCACAAGGCTCGATTGTCCTTCAGAGGACAACAACTGCAAGGTCGGGGCCCTGGTTTATAACCCACCTGTTTCTTAAGATCATTGGGTCGGTGGGCTGCACTTCATTGGGAGCGGCTCCTTGGCAGCGCGTAACTGTGCTGCAGCACATCGTGCGGCACTTGCACATATTCGCACCCTGTTTTGGAGGTGCCTTGTGTCGGAACCTATTGCAAGGCCAGTCCGCTTGCCCATATGTTTACAAATGTGGCTCTGCCAACACGGCAGCCGATACGACTCGCACACGTCTCTCCAAGCTTCATGCCTTGATGGTACATTAAGCTGAACGAATCTAAAAGACAAAGACGGGTGTGTCTCAGAGCCAATCTGCCAGCAGGCATGCGCTACGGGATGCGCATCTCGACATCGAAAGCGTTGGAACAAGGACGGCCGCGTTCATACTACAGCGGGCGACGCTGACTACTGCTGCAGCGGGGAGTTCAAGGAGGCCATAACAAGCTCTGGCTGTCGTTGCAAGGGTACTGTAAGGAAGAGTCCAGCTCATGCTCCTCACAAGATGAAGATTTGCAGCATTTGCCCGTCGGCAACCTGACAGGTGTATTGGTCACTCGCCAACACTCGCTACGGCACCTGCAAGTAGTTGAGATTGTCCTCATCATCCTTTCACCTCCACTGAAACTTTGCCTGTACTGGCTGCGCATCTCTGCAGGAGTGGTCTGTCACAAGTGCAAGACACTACGCTCCTATTGAGATCAGCCTAGAGTAGAATTCTAACCCACAGCGGATGATTCCTGGATAGCTTCTGACTACGTGCCTCAGGATTGGAAGCAGCCTGTACAGGAAGCATTGTCCGATGCAGCTAGCTATGTCACGAGTGCTCAGCTGTTGGATGCAAGGGGAGCCGGTACTCATCAGCACGGTGCCGCAAAAAAAGGTGTGGATCATGGCAACGGAAGATTTGGAGTTCTTGCGGCATCGTCACTTCGGTGCTTCAACACTGAATTCTATTATGCATGAACAAGCCACTAGACACAGTCTGCACTGAATGCCGCAAGCCAAGAGGTTCCGTGCTTTCGGAATGCAGTGTTTCGCCTTTGGCTTCGCATACCTAGTAATGAAACACTAGTTAATGCATCGGCAAGGGGAGGTAGGGAAGCGGCCAATGGACCGACTCAACGACAACCTGCAGCCTCGAACCCACATTCCTGTTGCACGCAATCGCTGACCTTGGCAAAACAGTTCGCCCACCATAGACTACAATCCTTGGCAGGCGCTTTGCCGGTGGCAGTCGCAACGAAACAGTTAGAAAAGATAAATTCAGCTTCATGTTTGTCACAAGTACGGGGTGGATTGGTCAAGAACTGCTGCGGTTAAATAGACGCCACGCATGCCCATTTGTGAAGTGTCACTTTACCTCACCTCTGTCCATGCAAACGTGGGAAAGACCGTCACCGCCAATCTTGTCAGCCCGGGATTTCCAGCATAGGAATGGCCACATTGCGCTCTCCGCTGTGACCAAGCAAATACGGGAACGAAAGAGCGTTGCATTCTGAAAGGTCTCACATCCAGTGCCGGTTTGCAAAAGTCGTTTGGCGTCCCTGAGCAAGCTGGCATGGTGGGTTTGGCATCGGAGGATGATGTGTCAAGTAGGTTGCAGGCGCTGCGGAACGTTTCTCAGGCAGCATGCGGCCCTGCCTTGAGAGTTCCCCAGGCAAATTATCGGCGAATAGGCTGGTGCACAGCATGAAGTGTAAAATGGAGTCTAACAGCCAAGTTAGGTCTGGACACATGCTGCTGTAAAACTGCCAAACGCTCGCAACGTCAATCTAATCGCAACGTTCAACGGCCAGGCTATTCGGGGCATACTGTCAAGCATCTGCAGGCGGCCAGTTGGGCCAAGCTTGCATGAGGCAATCCAGCTTACGCACGCCCAATTTGAAAATGATGGGTTCTTATCGTTGGAGCATACCCTGGACAAACTGCCACTTTTTCACAGACACAGCCTTCTGTACTTGCAAATTCGCCCGGGCATCCACTTGTGTTTGCGGATTTTGGCGGGCCATGGGTTGGCTGCATCCATGTGCCTCCATTGGATGCAACCAAGATGTACGCCATCCGTGCTACCATGTTTTGACCATCAGAATTCCCCACACTATTGTAGTCCTCATTTTGTTTTCCATTATCCCTCTAGAACCCCAATATAACCCTAATTATACCCCAATGGGTAGCAAACAACAATGCTCTTTTGGAGGGTCTCTGGCCTTTGCAAAAGGCTCACCTTGCAACTCTTCCCTTTGAATAATAGCTTCGGGAGAAATATCCTTTCCTTACTGGTGGTTAGGAGGGAATATGGGACACATTATATAGGGATTATGTAGGTATTATATTCCCCTATCCCCTACTAACAACCAGTACCTTTCTTGAACACTGAAGGGATCCAAACGCGGACGCATGATTTCAACCAAACCCCAACAGGATCATGCACCCCCCCTTTCTCTTGGAGAGTTGGAGCGGTACCTGGGTTTTATGGAGCGGGGTCATACAAATAGCAAATAAAGGGCTTCTTCAGATATACGAGAGATTGATACCTGCAAAGTTTTCTGGGGGTGTTCGATGGCGTGTTCGGGGCCAGTCCGCACGCGAACTTTGAGCCAACCTGACAGTGAACACGTAGCCCGACAGGGTGCTGTTTAAGTTTATGAGTCACTAAGGGATATGGCCAAAATACTGCATAACAGATGCTGATTTGGGAGGCAGAGTCACGGAGCTCTAATTTGAGATGAAATCATTCTGCAAGCCTTCTTGATCATTGCGGCGTGTGTGTGCTCAACAGTGTGCATCGCGGCCACCAGGCACGACCTTTGCATCATTGCCGGTGACTTCAACGCACGTTTGGACGGGGTGAAACGATGCCGAGCATGTTTGAAGTTTGCAGCACGTCCCAGCAAAGCTTGCTACTGTAGCACACTTTTGTTCACAGGTGAAATGCTGGCCCACTGTCAGGGACATTTTTCGCAGCGATGTAAGCGGCCTCCGCTTTGCATGTGGGCGTCGTCCGAATCATCCGAATCTGCGCTAGAGGCTTCTACCGTCAGACTTATCAGCCAATCATCAAAGGGGATTCTTTTATACAATTGGGCAACGGGTTGCACTGCCAAGAAAAGCCGGGTATTCTCATCAGGCTACTCGCAGCATCCAGCGCCACACATGTGTCTTCGCAAGGACTTGCCCAAAGATGCCTCCTGGCCTGAAGGCACTCAGGAGGTCCACGGAGCATTCAGAGCCAGAGAGAGACAGCTTGTTGTCTGACACGCCTGAGTGGAATCTGCCTTAGGCTTAGTTCATAGAAGTCGACACGTGCATATAGGTGGGAGGCAAGAGGCGTACATTGGCACGTTGCCGGCCAGCCACAACATAATTACAGGCCACTACTCGGAAATCATACCCTGACCTTGGCCACGTAGTCGTCCGGGCGTTTGGCAGGCGTGGCTGGCCCGCGACCAGATCATGCTGGGACAGGCCTGGAGTCTTTTACCTTTGGTTGGCTGGGAATGAAGGATTAGAAGAGAAAATATAACCCCCTATACTGGGTTATATAGGGACTACTAGAAGGATCCATTCCTTCATTCCTAGGTAACCAAAGGCCAGGTCTGTGCATTGCCAAATGCCTTCACGCAGCACGTTTGTCATTCGGACAGGTTTCCTGTTTGCGCGGCTTCCGCGAAGGCCATCGGACACTCCCTACAGTCTGTACCATTCAATCAGGCTCAGGGGTGATATGACAGAATTGAAAAGTCTTAAGTGACGGGAAATAATCCCGGTACTCATTGTATTCATGATGACTAGAGTACTTCTTGGTGTCTCTTGCAGATGGGCTCCAACTTCATCCAACGTCCATGTCCGGCAGCTGCAGGATATGTGATGTGTGATGCCCATATATCCATGGCCACCACGAGCGTACAGAATTCGCAGCTGTTTCCATGTGTCTTCAGCACCGGGGCGGTAGCGCACACGCAAGCTTTGCCACTTGCAGTAGTGGCAGTCGTCGCAGTAGCAGCAGATGATACCATAGTATCAAAAGGAGCTGCCGCAAATTCGCAATGATTCTCACTCCCCTTAGGTACCGGAGGCAGTGCTGGTTGCAGCACCAGTATGATAGTTTCCTTCAACAGGGGATGCTACTGTAGACCATAGTCTATGTATCTTTCACCGTCAGAAGGGTGACCTTAATTGTGGGAAACCCCCGTATCAACGGTCGGTCGTGAACCTATTGATGGTAGCCGCGCCAGGCCTTTGCCTTATGTTTATTTTGGAACTGCTTCAGGCCGAAGACATCGCTATAAAGACGGCCGTTTCCATTGCTATCCGCAAGTCTTGCCCATTTCCGGCTCGGATATCTAAGTGATTCCGAGTGGCAGCGTGTCATGATCCCTGATGTAGGGGTGTACAAGAATCACGACTAAGTGCCTGAAGCTGTGCATCCAGTGGCTATTCGATAAGCATGTCATGGTGCATACATTGTTGTAGTCCCTGTGGGAGGGAAGTCAGCGGTGGCCAGCGGGCACTAGTCACTAGTCGGAATCGGGACGGGGCTCCCGCCAGGCGTGATCTACTTTCCGCCCACTTACAAGTACAAGATAGGCCTGAGGGAATGATGCGCGCAGAAAATTGTCACTCAGAGGGAGTTACGTGGATCTAGAACCTCACCTTTCGGATTGCTGCAAGTCTGAATAGAACTGATTCCACATGGTTCCAACAGCCAGGCACTAGCGCTTTGAACACTAAGCGGTGTCCCGCATGGCCCAAGACTCAGGCAGCGCCAGTTGTTTTAGCGCCTTGCCTGAAAGATCCCGGTGCCTTCGATGGGTTCCGATCAAGAAGAATTGGGCGCTGGGAGCGCAGCTTCCACAGGGCCTCCGGTTCCTGCATAGCCCAGAGAAGAAAACGATGAAAAAATATGTAATATTTGTTTGGGCAACTTGTCGATCACGGTACCGACTTTGGACCTGGACCATGGGCTCTGACGCCTCATCATTGTGTAATTGGTGGACCGGCCAATCGTGCTGTGTGCGCCTACGGGCCGGGAGCCACCTGAGGTGCGATCGTGTTGTTTACAAAATCTCTGGCAGAGCTCATGCAGATCTATTAGAGCATGTGCCCCAGAGACTTGTGGTCAGTGTGGAGGCCTCCAACCACCACTTGATGCTCCTTGGATTGCTCTGCAGAGGTATGCTTCGCTGCCAGACCTGAAGCTGACCAGTGCCTGCGGCCAAGAATTTGTTGGCTGAACTTGGCAGGTCCCTTACAGATGCTGCTTGTGTAGGAGCCGCTGAGGACCATCATCCGGTTGCAGCCCTTGTTCAGGCCTTTACAGCAACTGCTCACTGCACAAAGAGTCATTCCCTCGCTCTTCCACGAAAGGTGCAGGCGGCCGAAAGGACAGCTGGAACTGTCACGCCATAGGCGCAAAAGCGCTGCGCGAGGGGCGGGCAGATAACCGCATCCTGCCCGAGGTGCAGTTGCCTTGACAGCATTTTCTTTGCCAACTCATCAACAGACATCATCTGCGGTTGCTTATGTAGACCTGGGCCCCCCTTTGTCAACACACGGCCGAACTACATCCTAGGCCAAGTTGAACTCCCGCAGTTTCCGAGCTACGCATCCCATGAAAGTGTGTCACAGTTTGTCAGCAACCTGAACTTTGCTCGCTCGTGCTCAGGCCTGTGTTTTTTTTGGGGGAGGGCAGTAGCCAGCAGAGGAGTGTAGAGTAGGGGAGCTGCGGAACATCTTGGAAGAGATGGGCATTGCCAAGCGCATCTTCAGCGACCTCCTCACCAAGCATCGTTACAACGATGAAGGCTCCTCAACTTACTCAGCAGACTCCGAGTCTGAGGACTTGGAGAGAGATGAAGTGAAGTCCTGCCAGTCTGGGGATGATGTTCTTGTTGGTCAGACTGATATCCGGAGCTACCTCTTGGCACCCTGGCGGTGGAAGCCCACTGAATCCTTTGCTGAAGACGAGGAAGCTGCAAGGGCCATGCAGCTTCCATTCCATATGCAGGATGACGATGTGACCGACCTCCAAGCACATGCCAATGCAGATGCCGATGCCCTTGAAGCCGATGAGGACGCGGCTCAAAGTATGGGCATGCCTTTCCACATGGAAGATGATGACTATGTCTACACTTCTGAAGATCCTCTGATAGGGCTTGGGCCAGATCTTGCAGCCGATGGAGATAATGAGTCCTTTGAAGCCGATGAGGATGCGGCCAGATCCATGGGCCTTCCGCTCCACGTGACTCATATGACTCATATGACGCACGAAGATGAGGATGTTCAAAATGATGACCATGAGGTTGATGCAGACCAGAACTTCGTAACTCCGATCCGCCGGAAGCGCCAGTGCCAGTTGGCTGAGACACCAGAGAAGAAGCCTCGTTTGGCTTTTCGGGCTCAGGTTGTGCAACCTTCACAGAAGAAGGCTCCGATCGACCAAAGTGAGAAGCTTGGGATGGCCACGAACATGGGAGAGCTCTTGCCGAGCGTGATGTGCTGATGATGTGCTGGCTCTGTCCGGGTGCTAGGCGCAACCAGTGGAGAGGGCACTGGAGGGTGGAGAGCAAAACAGAGACAGGAGAATCTATCTGAAGAATGTACTTTCTTCTGGTAATATGAAGTGCAGCAGGACAATTTGAGAGCCTCCGGCTCAGTCCGCTGACCCAGAGTCGGAGAAATCGCGAACGCAACGACGGCGTTAAGCCTTAACCCTTCACCTTGAGGTTTTCAGCGGCTGGCACGAGACCAATCGGCGCAACAAGATTAGTTCAAGCTAGGCTGCCGGGACTCAGCAGCCTTGCTGTTTTCAGTGGTTGCGCAAGAAATCAATCGGAGCAACAGGGACAGTGTCAGGACCAGCACTGCATTCCATTGTTGCAGACGCGTCCGGGCCTTCATGAGCGTAGCTTGGGGTGGCCCCTGATGAGCATGCTCGGGCAGGCTGGCTAGCCTGACACCCAGGCCCGGCCGGGCCCTAGAGGTTTGGGGGCCCCCAAGCGTTAATCAGCCCAACAAGATTAAAGGGACTCCGGGGTCTTGCTGTTTTTGGCGCAGCAAGCCAGGCTTGACCCACTTGCCCCATTTGAGCCAGTTGACCCTTATGACCCACCCCCACTCCACTTGACCCACTTGCCCAAGTCGCGCGAGCGGAGGAGCAGGAATTCAGGGATAGGGGAGAAGTGGGGCAAATGGGTCTGCGGCGTCCGGAGCAGGAGTTGAGGAGACCATATTATGAGGAGGGAAATGGACCAAATGGGAAATGCCCGCGGATCCTTAATCCCGTAATGCCGATACTCTCAAATGATTCTTATCAGATATAGAATCTATCTAAGAATTTTATATATATTCCATAATTAGCAATATAGAGAGGATATGATATAATGAGATATATTCTATATATTGATATTATCGATATATTTCAATTATGATGATATAGGTCGAATATCTAGCACTGAAGATCTCAAGATGAAAAAGATAATATATTTCAATAAAAATATCTATTCTATGAAATGAAATATCTTTTATTATTTTCGGTTTCTATATATATTTTCTGAGATCGGTCTTCTGAAATATCTCGGATTTTTTGGAAGGTCGATCTCTACTAAATATGACAGATTTATGAAGATGGTTTTTTTTTCCGTTGAATATCTGGATTAATTCTCGAAGAATAGCTAGGATTTTTTTATAGAATATTTTTAAAAATATTTGATATATTACGTAGGTCGTGGCTTTCGAAATATTCGAGATATTTTATAAAAATGAATTGGGAGGTCGAATTTGATTGAATTAAGAAAAATCTTATTCTAATCTAGAATATTTTGCTACGTGGTTAGGTAAATTTATTGGGTGGGGGGGCGCGGGGCGAAAATAAAATTGATGATAATGATAGAGGAGAGGGAGTGGCTCAAGAAATAGTGGCGGGTCCGGAAAATTTGAGGGATGTTCGTAGAGGGGGTGTCCGCGTGGAATAGTGGTGCGAGTTCCCCCAACCGTTCTTTTCAGGGATTGGGTTTGGTTGTTGTTTTGGGGAATTGTATTCGTGGGAGGTCGATTGGGGGGAGAGGAGGATGATATTATTGAGATTCCGAGGAAGTGGTTTCAGGGGAAACCATTCTTTCGATTCGGATGAAAAGGCGGAAGGAGGGATAGATAACCAAGAAGATTGGGTTCGATATTCTTGGTTCTCTTGGGGTTTGGAGGATATCATCAGAGCTGGATTATTATACGCGCCAATCCGGGAATATTTTGGGATTTATTGAAGGGGAATTTGTAGCTTTGCTTCGGGATATTCTCCAAGGAGTCAATTAGCTTCTCGATTAGCTGTAGGAAATTATCCAAGGGCTTTATTTCTGTTTATTTGCGATTTGGGCGGCGAAATCTGGAGATATTTGTAGAGGATCGGATCTTCTTTTCGGGATTGGAGCTTGGGTCATGGAGTGGCAGAATTATGTAGTTTGGTTTCTTTGGGGAGAGTTTCTTGAATGACGGCGGATTTTCCTCTCTGAGGAAGGATTTTCTTGATTCTGTTGGTTTAGGGGTTCGCAGCCTATCCAGGACGAAAAATCTTCCCGAATTTAAGGATCTCGTAGAGCGCTATGGAAATTGATGAAGGGATGGATGTTGGTCTTGCCGTCGCGTCTCAATCCGGAGTGATATATAGGGCAATTGATGCGGACTTGGCTTTGGCGGAATTATTTGGAGTGGAAGTTGGGGAGATTCTAGGATCGGGAAATGCAGTGCGCAGCCACGGGAGACCCCAGGAATTCTATTGCCCAATTCAGGGATGCGCTCGTCGTCGCGGGCAGGGGCCAGCCTGGACTTCCAAGGGTGCTTTGAGGGCTCATCTTGACATGCACCTTCTTGGCGAATTTCAAGGTAGACCTTCGGATGAGATTCTTCAGGATATGGGCCTGCGTTGCTGTCGCATTTGCGGCAAAAATATTAGTCAAAGATATATTTCGGGAATTCATCCCTCGTGCTGGCCGAAAATTAGGGATCCTATTAGGGATAGCTTTTCTCTCTCCCTGAGCGAGACTCAGTTTCCGTCATTATCTGAAATCTTCACTACCCCCATTTTTACTAAGGACTAGCTCCCCTCAGAACTTTGGTCGATGATAAGGGAAGAGTATGGTAGGCTTCTTATTGCTGTCAATTGCATATCCAGACCGGATGCGTGGGATCCGTTACCTATTAATGAGGGAGGACGAAATATTGGGGATGAATGTCCGAATAAGCAAAGGGCTCGGCAAATGTGGCTTGAATTTCTCATATTCCCCAAAGTTATTCTACGTCAGAATAAGCGTGGTCAACGGAGAGGACAAGCGATGATATTCGCAAAATCCCTTCTGATACGCTGGCGATTGGGGGAGCGCCGCGATCTTTGGGATGAGGCCAAGGGCCGGGCGGTAGCTTTGCGCAAAAATAGAATTGGAGAAATCCAGGAGAATTATCGTGAGGGGGCGCACGCTGATGCGAGACGATTGCTTTCCTTAGGACGGGCGGGTCGAGCTTTCAAAAGACTTATATCTCCTGGTTTGGCAGCGTATACTGAGACCGTCAAGAATAAGCTTCTTGCCAAATTCCTGGGTAATCCCAGGGGTCGGTCGTACCGATCGGTTCTCCCTCCTACGCCTGAAATCGAGCTTAGTATCCTCCTGAAAGCCCTTCATTCGTTTCCTGATGGAGCTGGGCCAGGATCTGATGGGCTTAGGGCTGACTTTCTCAAGGGTCTTGTTGGGCATTCACTCGAATCTCCCCTTCTCCCAATTCTGTAGCAGTTCTTGCAAGTATTTGATGATACGGATGTCCCGGCGGCGTTGCAGCCATGGCTTGCTGGGGGGGCACTCTTGCAGGAATTGGTAAGATTGATAAGGAAGATAAATCTATTCCCTTGATTCAGGATGCTAGGCCTATGGTGATGGGATATATTTTCCGGAAATTTGTTTTCAAGTGCATCTTCAGATGCCGCTATTATTCGTGATAGATTGCTTCTCCAGCAAGTGGCTGTTGGGGTCTCGGGAGGAGCTGAAGCCATAGTCCACGTGGCTAGGGATTGGATTAGTCGTAGTCGGGGGGATCCCACGATTATCCTCTTCTAGAAAGATATTAAGAATATTTTTAATAAAATATTTCCTGATATTTTTCTGGATGAATGTCGTAGGTACGCTCCGTCCTCAGCTAGGTTTGCTGAATGATCTTATGCAATTCCTTCCCATTTGATCTACGATGGCGAGGTCGTTATCAATTCGCGTAGATAACAGGGATATCCTATGATGATATCCTTGTTTTGCCTTGTTCATAAGAGACTATTTGAGGAAGTTCAGGCTAATCTTAGAAGTACTATCCCCTTTGCCCCCGAATACGCGGATGACAGATTTAGTGGAGGAGCTGTCGATGAAGTATTGAAGTTCTTTCAGGAGGAATTTCGTCTTGCTGAGGAGTATGGTTTGCGGTACGACCTCAATAATTGGATTCTTTATCTTCTTGCTGGGGACGGTTTCCGTGGAGATGTCAGTGCCTTTCAAGCCCTGGGGGGTTGATGCTACCTGCAATATTCAAATCTTGAAGGCTCCTATTTGCGGATCCCCGGAATTCTTGGCTGAATACTGTCAAAATAAGAAATCGGATTTCGAATGCGTATTTCAAATCCTGGAGGACCTTGATCAAAAATATATAGCATTTCATTAGCTCCAGACGTGCATGGGTTGATCCCAACTCAATTATTTGGGCAGGACCGCTCCTAGATATTTCTTGAATCCCCTCATGAATTGAGATGACGCTAAATATAGAGAGGTCTTTGAGGTTATTTTGGGAGAAAGAATCATGGATATCCAATGGCTGCAAGCTACGTTCCCCAGTGCCAGCGGTGGTTTAGGATTTACTACGGAAAAGATTCCCCTTGGAGATCAAATTTTCGGAAGGGCTGACTTGGCTTACGTGATAGCGTATCGAATGGGAGTCCCATTGATTGAAGCCTTGGTTCCTCCCCGATTGGATCATTCGAGAATAGATTGGGTTTCCGGGTTCAGAGACTTACGTAGATATTTCCTATTTGGCAATCCGAATTGGAGAATCCGGACTTCAGATTTAAATAAAAGGATTTGATAGAAACTGAGATAATCTCCTTTCGTAGGGCTATTAGTGACCTTCTTTCTGATCTCCAAAAAAGGGTCTTCCAAGCTTTTGCCGCTCCTTGGGCGGATGGAGGGGGTCGGGCTTCTCCGAATCGCATTTTTGATACTTATTTATTTAACGCTGCATTCTACGATATTCTTTCTATGCGGCTTGGCAGACAAGTTTTCGAAGGCGTCATGGTATACTCACGATATCCCCAGTCTCAAGATTCCTTTGGAATGCATCCACTTGCGTATCATATACTTGGGAAAAAATCAATCCTTCATAATATGATTCGCGATGAAATTTACAGAACTCTGCAGGAGGGAAAATTTCATTATAGATTGGAATCCAATCATCTCTTGCCAGATTCGCCAGGTCAGCGCCCTGCAGATATTTTAACGATCCCTACAGCTCTCTATAGATAATCTATTTGGGGTCTGATGCCGAGGATTGCGCTTGATATCTCAATTATCTCGCCTTTCCGGTCGTCTAATTTGGGGCAGGGTAGTTTATCAGCTGCTAAGTCTCAGGCGGAGCGTAAATATAGAGATCGTGAGATGGCCCAAAGATGCCATTCCCAGGGCCTAGGATTTGAATCACTGATCTTAGAATATTCTGGAGGTCTGGAACCGGAGGGAGATCGTCTTCTGATTTCGTTTTGCCGAATTATTGATGATAATTTGCGCCGAAAAATTGAATCTATTCGTCAGATATTGAAATAACGTATTTCCTTCGTGATTCAGAAATATGGGCATATTTGCTTGCAGCGGGTTAGGTGCCAAAGCCAGAGCCCATCTAAATTCCATGATCGTTCTATTCAATTCCTGCAAATATATTCTGAGGGAGGATGATCATTGAAATTATTGATAGGATCCCACGCGCAGGATATGATGATTCTGAATCTGAGGGGAGGGGACCTGAAGCGAATAGATGATTGGAGATAGAGCATCTCATTTTCTCATTTTTTCTTCATTTCGTTTGAGGGTCTGCTGTTGCGTTGTTCTTTTTCCTTCTTTCGGCGTCTTCTTTCCTATCTAATTCGTGACGAGAGGCGACGGGGTTTCACGATTGGAATGCGGACGCCGAAATTCGTGGTGATTCCTTTTCCCTCAAACGAATGGGAAGATTGGAAATCTTGAATAACGAGATTTCTTCTTTTTCGCCTCGCAAATGGGAAAATTGATATGATTCGGGAGGGGTTGGTGCCCGTGGCAGCGGCGGCGGCAATCGGTCGCGGCGGCGTTTTGGATTGGTATGCGGGGTCGGGCGGGGAGGGATGATCCCGATGAAGGAACGATAGATTCTGAGAAAATCTATAGATCTTTAATACGAATTCAAAATTATAAATAATATTTCGTTCGAGCCGTGCTGGCAGATGGCGATCGATAACGATAGCGGTAGAGGAGGAGAAAACGATAGATTGCGGTGGGGAGTGGCGGGGATGGGTCGTACTCGCAATATATGGCGGAATGAGGAAGGCTATAGAATGGCAATGATTTAAGAGAATTGAATTGAGTCATTCAGATGATAAGAAGCAATTATAGAGCGCCGCAAGCTTTGCAAGTGATTATAATTTAATTTATTGCTCGTTATGATAAGGGATCAAATCGAATATGATTGCATGTCATATTCAATCCCCAAAAATAGAAATAAGATTTTCAGCAGAAATTCTCAAGATTTCCCATATATGAAAAAAAAAAATCTCAGGAGATCGTATTGAAGATCCTTAATTATATTTCTCGAAACGCCTTGAGAATAGGAGAAGAATGAAGATTTCTTTATTCAAGAAAATCTAATATTATCGATTCAAATTCGCGAATAAATTACGTTTTCGTATTTATTATAAATATAATTTGATAAACAAATATAATAATTAATGAAATAGGAATAAATGATATAGAAATTCGTTCTAGAGATCAAAATCGCGTGACCAATAATCTTGGAGATTATATTTCGTATTAATAGTGTAAAAAATCTCGAAGATTTCAGGGCCTCTATCTTTTCCGAAAGACCCCAAATCTGAGATTTCAGAATCCGTAAGGAACTCATAAGAAGAATTTTAAAGAAAAGGCAGAAAATCTTAATCTCATATGCACGAAATAATCTCAAATAATCGCGCCATAGGGTAAATCCGATCGTCCCAGGCCCCAAATCCTTTCTATATATTTAAATTTCTATATATATATATAGTCACTGTTCAATAATCAATTTAATATATTATCCTCTAAATCAAAAATTCATCTTTCGATTGCCGAAAAATTAAAGACTATGCCATTCATGAGAAATATCCTCATCATATTCTATTAGAATTAGATCATTGCCTATGGCAATAGAAAATATTTATCTAAGAAAATTCAAAGAAAATCCGATAATCAGATAATAAATAAAATCGCTCATATAGACCGATCAATTATCAATCTTTTAAGATCGCCTAGTAAATAGATTCTGAAAGACTTTAGATCTCCGTAGATAGGTAAGTAGAACAAATTAATTCGAAAGCTTGCGAGTTTTTAATTCACGCGACCCTATAATCGCGCGGCCCCCGTATCCATTCCAAATTTTCCGTCTAATTTATCTCTCTCGGATTCTCCTACCTACGCAATGGCTCGGGGGCAAATAAATTGCCTGGAAAAAAATTAGTCAACCTTTGGATTCTGAAAAATTTTGGTTCCGTCCCAGGTCTACGCGCTCCTCCGAAGAGCCCTGCCGACAACCAAAAAGAGATAAATCACGCAGAATATGTAAACTCGCACATAAATCCCAATGAACAACCCATATATAACACCGCGCATGACCAAAATCGACACACCTAACAGATTCTGAAAGATTTTGGATCTTTGCCCAGGGTCTACACCGAGCCGCCGCGCAAACAGCCGAGAGAGAGAAATGGTTCGAAATCTCGGGAGATTTCAGGTCGCGCGGCCCCCGCATCCAGCCCGACCTTTCCGCCTCATTTTGGCTCTCCGTGCCGGGTCTGCGCGTTCCGCCGAACATCTGCGCAGACAGTCAAAGAGAGATAAATCACGCGGAAAACCGCTCCGGAGGCAAGGGCCGCGCGACCAAAATTCTCCGAGATTTTTGGTCGCGCCGCCCGCACCAAAAATCTCGGAGATTTTAGAGCCTCTAGCTTTTCCGAAGGGCCCTAAAATCTCCGAGATTTTAGAGCCCCTAGGGAGCCCGCATGAGGCATTTTTAAGGTGAGCTGGAAAACCTAGGCCGCGCCCGAGCGAAATGACCGCAAGTGGCCGCGCCGTAATATTGAAAGGTGAGCCGGAAAACCTAGGCCGCGCGCGAGCGAAATTACTGCAATTGGCCGCACCGTAATATTGAGGCATATATTTTCATTTATTTTGTTGATGTTTTCAAACCCTATTCTTCCCTTGATTGCAGCTAATCATTTCTGCCCGCCTGCGGCGAATCCTGGTCAATGTTTAGTCGTCTGCGCCGGCCCCTTGCGGCACAGAACGCGTTTCAGGGCGGTGCTGTGGATTGCCATGCAAAATGGAGGATTTCGGATTTTGATTAATGATTTCTGATTCTGCAATTTAGGTGTTACCAAATGGTTTGCCATAGAAGCAGCAACATGCAGCAACTAGACGGGTGCTGTGATCATTGTTCTGTCATGCTGTCCCCTGGATGGAGGTCATAGGTTCAGCAGGATTTGGGCCTGATTCTAAGGCGTTCCGTTCCGCCCTGGAACATCCAAAGAAGCATTTCCACTTCAAGATTCCAAACCTTGACATCCATGACTTCGAAGGCTGTACTTACCAGTAGCTCTGTGCAGGATTCCTCGCGGAGTTCGCGGCCGTCTCGTGTCAATCTCACCTAGGGCCCCAAATTTGGCTTGGGGGTTCGACAAGCTCTGAGGCGTGCCATTCATTTGTTAAAGGTCTGGCAGCTAAACACACTTACAGTATAGTCTTTTTCAAGACCCTTTGTCAGGATTGCAGTGCGGTTGACAGCGGGTGGGTCAGGATTAGTCACTGTTGAGCAAAACAACTTAGGAATTGCTGGACCTGTTCGATTCACAAAGCGCAGCTACATGGTTCGTTCTGGGCTATATCGCTGCTTAAGATTGTGCTAGGGATTGACCTGCGGGACGCTCTATAGCTGGGAGTTAGCTCCACAGAAGACCACTTTTTGAAGTCAGCCAGTCCGAGCATCGGATGACGTCCAGCAGATCTGCAGCAGCAGTCTTCCCCCCACAAACTAGCTGTTGATTTGATCTTCCCCGTAATCGCTGTGCCAAAGTTGGCACCGTCGCTCTCAAATATCAGGTCACCATCACAGCTGCAGATGGGCCGTCCTTGCTGCGCGTGCGTGTGGCTGAGCCAGAGCTTGCAGCACCAGAGGGAGGCGCCCCCTCCTCGCCATCCACAAAGGGGATAATCATACGCAAGGCGGAGGTGCTGCTGAGGAAAGACTTGAAGCACTCATCCGCACCTAGGGTCTGTACCATCTCTACAACGGACTCAAGGAGGATCCTTGTTCTACCCAACTGATCGCATTGTTTCAAGCACAGCTCCCGGCTCTCTTGCGGTGAGAGGCTCAGCGGCTGAGGGACCGCGTGCCAAAGCCAGCTGGAAAGAATGAAGAGGGACAACTCGGCAGCCTTTGTCCTCTGTTCGCTGCGTGCTCCTAGCTTCATGCACAGCAATTCGTGGTGGCACAGCAGTACCACTCTCTGCAGCACTGTGTCCACCTCCTCACCTTCGGCTGCCCCTCGGAGCTGCAGCACGAAGTCTGGGCTGGGTGCCGTGGCCAGGCAACGAAGCAAAAGCTCCAGGGCCGCCACCCTGCAGTTTTGATGCGACACTGTGTCCTCGCAGGGAGCCTCGAGCTTCTTCTGTCTCTGTGGTGGTATTGAAGGAATGAGGAGAGCGTTAGCCACGGCCAGCAGCACATTCTCATCAGTCTCAGCCTGATGGGCGAGGGTGAACAAGTCTGGACTCCCCATCAAAGCTTCCAGCAATCGCAAGGTCTGCAAATGAAGTGTGTCTGGGGCTGGATCTTCACAAAGCAAGGCCAACAGCGAAGGTTGCTGCAGTACAGGTGACAGCGCTGTCAACAAGGCCCCTGAGAGCTTGGAAGCTATCTCCTGCAGGGCTGCCAGAACTTCGATCGCGCAGGCCTCCCGCTCAAGGGCTTCTTCTTCCTCGCACTGTGTAGTTGCCGGATCAAGGACGGCTGAGTGCAGCACGGCAGCCAATGCGCCGAAGAGAGCCGACTTTGCCTCTTGGGCTGCGCTGGCCGCGATTTCTGATGCGTGCAGTGGGAATAGTCCAAACCAATGCTTCAAGAAAATGGATCCTGCAGTAAGCGCGCACCATTGGCGTCGATGCAGCCCTTCCTGCAGCAGCTCAACTGCAGCATCAGCAGCTGACTGAGCCTTGTTGGGAAAGTTGGTGACGCCTGCCTGCAGTGTAAGCCGCTGCTTGATTTGGCCATCCCAGCGCTCGGCAAGCCCCAGCAGAATTGCTATGTGCTGCCTCATCGTGTCTTCGTTCATCGGATCGTCACAGCTGCGATGCTCTTGCAGAGGACGATCCGCAGACGCCACATTGTGCTCATTGCGTGATGGCCCTGATGGCTCGGGGCGAGGCTTCGGTGCGGGTCTTGGCTCCTCCGGAGGAAGTGCCATGGGAACAGGCTTCTCGACAACAGGCTGTGCCTTCAAGTGGTCCATTTCCTGCTGCATCTTCTGTACAGTCAACTTCAACCTCTTCCGCTCATCCTCCGACGAAATGAGATCTTGCCGGGCATACTGCAGCTCGCCATGGACGCGTTCAAGCTCGACCTGGCGCTGCTGGGACTGCTTGGAGGCAGGGCCCGCATCCCTTGCAGTAGCCAGCTCATTCTCCAAGCGCGTGTTCTCACGCTCGAAAGCTTGCAAGCGGCTCCGCAAGATGGTGATCTCGGCTGTTTTGGTGGCCAACTCATCGTTCAGGCAGGCCACAGCAGCACCTCCAACAGGTGCTGCAAAAGGGCTGGTCGCTCGTTGTGGAGGCCACTGAGGAATGCCGGAAGGAGGGTGCATGGCAGATCAAAACAATGCCATCAATGAAAGAAAGGTGTGCTCAAGGCTATTCCAAGTTGGCTGTGCTTGTCTGACCTATGCCATGCAGTGACTGCTGTTGGCACATGTTCTAGGTAGGATAAATTTATGCCTCATGCTTGCAATTTCTTCTCTACAAGGGCAACTCCTGCCTCGCAGCTGCAAGGTGCAGGACACTGACTGTGCAGCGTTTACGCAATGACGCTTGCCGGACCTGGCTTCAAGCATCCTGAATTCATGCCTCCAAATAGCACAGGTCAGCGCAATAGCAGGAACAGACGTGGCTCAGCTCGAGGCAACGTATGCTCTGTGCTCAGCCTGCCAGTATCGAGAAAATCTCTTGCGGGGTGCAGCGTGGGCAGGGCAGGTGTCCCCGCAACATCCTGTCATCCACTGTACAAACCCTCAAACCTTATGCCTCTTGCCAGTCACATGCAAAACCTCAGCAACCCTTTATGGCAAGCTAAACATGCAGTCTCAAGTGCAAGCCTCAAGGAGTTCTTTACACTTGCTACGAAGTTCTGCGCTTTACGGAATGGCCGTGTTCTTCAGTTGATGAGGTTTCTTTTGGATTCCGCCCAGCAAGCAATCTTCCCTACTATGAGGACGTACAAACCTCCTTGCTTGTGCGATGAAAAGGTCTTTGTTCCATACTGCCACGAATGCGTACTACTACTAGGTCAGTACCCCTGTTGTCATCCGTGTTTTTTGTCCTGTTTTCACTGCTTCTACACCATGCCCTTTGCATTACTGTCCTGATCTTTGATCAAAAATCAGCAGCTGGCATCGGATTTCTGAAGTCATCATTGACGCCATTCTCACCAACTGTCGGTGGCCCGCCTCTCCCTCCTGGCGGCTGATGGTCGCCGCTCGGGGAGTGTGCTCCCAGGGCTGGGAACAATCAATCAACATGACTTTCGATCAAACGCGCTTTCATCGTCATACATATACAGTAGTCTTTTGACGTGTACGGGCATTTTATGAGAAAATCTGACACTGTCATGATGCTCAAGGACGTCAACGTCATATGAGTCATCTGCTGCATCAACTGCGGTACAAATGATGTGCGTCTAAGCCAGCCAAAGCCGTGGAGGTAGCCGTGTCAACATCCAACAACAAGAGGATACAGAAGCAAGTGCTGTGGTGTACGACACCACATGTGTTATCTGTGAGCAAAATGGCTTAATATCCTGAGCAGCCTGTAGATCTTCCTCTTCATCATACTTATGAAGCAGACACAAATCGAACCCCACGCTGCATAGTGCCGGTGTTGGGTGTAAAACAACTGAACTGCAGACTGCATGCTGGCATCGTGCCAAACTGTCGAAAGCCTTGACACATCCGTTTCGCACGGATTGTAATTGTGCATGGAGGAGGCAGATGCCCCTCACATCCCCGCCTCCCCGGCGGTCCCACAGCCCATGCGGGCCCCCCTTGACTGCTGCATGTTTTCGATACTCAGCCCTCCAAAGCTCCAAAATCGCGGAGCACAAGCCCATTTACCTTCCCGCTTCTGCAAACCCACACGGCGCAGTTGGGCCCCTTCAGTGTTCTGTGTGTTCGGCACTTTCAGCCTTCCCTGCAGAAAGCGAAGGCCTAAATTGAATTCAATTCGGAACAGCTACTGAGCTCCGCTGCGCTCCTCCTGTTGCTTTTAATTTAAGCAGATTTCGAGCTCGGGACACCCCTCCTCCAAATGAGTTTAAGTTAAAAGGGAACCCTCCCCCTGTTGGAATTTAAATAAACGCATGTTCTGAGCTCCGAAAACCTTCCTCTTATTGAATTGAATTTAAAGCTAAGGTCCAGATTCGTTTGGGGGCGAGACCCCTGCCCCATCATATTGTAATGCAGGACCCTTTTGTTGAGGGGGGTTTCCCCCTACAATAATCAGGATCGCACGTTGTTCAAGAGCTGCTCAGCCTCTTCGAGGTGATTGTGGCTGTGCGAGGATGCAAAAAAACAAGATTGTCTGACTGAAGCAGCATACCACCTAGGGTCTTGTAGAGGGCAGCACAGATTTGCACGCGGGCGATCTTCATGGGTCTTCGCCAAGTGGTGAAACGTTGTGGTTGCTATGTCTGTCGAAATGCACAGCGCTGCTGGGTAGTAGGTTAGGATTGCGCAAGGGCAACCATTTTACAGGACTTGTAATGTGAATATCTGCACACGTCAACACAATCTCAGGGAGGTCCACTAAAGCTTCGGAGCACTCTCAGGGGCTGCGGAAACCGCAGGATCTGGTGGCTCTGCTTTGCTTTCGTTGACCTTCTCGGCGCTTTCTTCACGCTTCTTGGCGTTCTCGCAGGACTGCCAGGCATTCTTGAAAGATGCAGTGCATGCTCACCACATTTTCGATCACTGCAAATTCACCGTCCAACTGGACAGCCACTGTTCTTCAAACGTCTTCACTGATTAGATGCTATAAGACAGCTTAACTGCCCCAACCAGGGAAGTATGCCTTGATGTACAAGTACAAGCCAAAGCTGGCCAGAAACCTCAGCGTATATGGAGCCACTTTGGTGGCCGAAGCTCGGCTAAGGGTTTTCAGCGTGCCGCAGAAATCACTTGAACTACTGTTGCCTCACAATCTATGAAAGGAAATGGCTGATGCCAGCAACTGTCAAGGTTCTTCGAACTGCGCAACATATCCGTACAACCTGTAGAATTTTTTGAATGTTATCCTCCCACCACAACATTTGCATCATCACCACGCAGAACTTCAGCGCTGCAGCTTCGCCCATCGCTCCGTAAAGGAAGGGGAGTTCACTGGGGCTTGATGGCGGGTATGTTTGAGGGAATCATGCGAGTGCAGATACCTTCATTCAGCGAGCGTCTTGTTGACTGAGGCGTGGACGCTGCGACGCCGATGTACAGCTCGCTTCGCCTCCGATGAAGATGCTGTCATTTTAATCTCTGTAAGCCATTGTAAGCCCATTAATGAGGTCCATGCATGTGGTGCTTGGGGTTTTGCCCGAGTGATCTCTCTGGCATGGCACGTAGACTTGAGGGATTGATCAGCGGATGGATTCAATTTGACTACCACATCATGTTTGGCCAAGGGCAGCCCATCCACACATGCATTATGGCACTTGCCTTCTGGGTGGGAACATATTCCCCAAGATGGAGAAGCCAACTATGATTGCCACGAGGAGCCTCAGGCATCTGTCGGGAACCAGAAGTCCCCAGCTTGAAAAGCTGCATCTGCAACCGAAAGCTGAAAGCACTCGCATCGCAAGAAACACGTTGCCATGCTACTTTGGCCGCTTGTCTCAGAATAGCACTAGGTGTGCTTCAGCTCACACAGGACGCGTGCAGAAAATGGGCCCCTGACGCATCAGACAATGCTACGGTGTCCTGAGCGCTTCGGTACTAACTGCGATCCATTTAGAACAGGTGGACATGTTGATAAGGCAGCTGAGGGCGTCTTTGTGTATGCGCACGCAGAACCACATGGGAGCCTGCAAATCACCTCGAAGCTAAAAGCCTGGTCTTCCCGTGTAGAAGAGCTCTGGAAGCAACATGACTTACAACATCCATGCTCTTGCAAGAAGGTCCCCTTGGAAAGCCCTTGAACCTGACTTGCTAATCACTCCAAGCTTCGTAGAACTCCTGTCGGGCTTCTGTGGCTGCCTTGGCCCTGCAGCAGCTGGAATAATGATCTGCTCCCGAAGGTGGAAAGAAAAGTCGACAACCAAGCCAACCAAGCTGAAGCGCATGCAATCCAGCCAGCCACGTATCTACGGCCTTATGGTAAACTCATTGCAGGCTTCTCACGGTATCTTGGCCATACTTTGATCGCAGCATGAGAAAGAACATGCTAGGTTGAGCTCTTGCAGAAGGACTCCCCAAAAAAGGGGCTTCCTGTTGGAGTCATGTTTCCAAAATAAAAAAAAAACTGTGTGTTTACGCCTGGGTTGCGCAGGGCGCGCTTTGCTCGAAGGAAAAATTTGCTTCTCAGTGCATAGACCCTCCAACTCCTACACGGTGCAGTAGGGACGCACTAAACAAGATCATGTAGGTACAATCGCGTCACCAGCAAGTTGTCCAGTACCACCAGCAATTTACATCTTCACCAAATGCGATTTAGCTACGTATCAAAGCCAGGGTTCGCGATGTGTCCCTAAATTACGATGGGGAACCATAAAATGGGCCATAAGTTTGCCCCCACTTCCCCCCCCTCCATCAGGCCTGGCTTTCATGTCGGGGCTGATCAAGAAAGACCTCCACCGTCAATGTGTGGCAGCTAGGATGACACATCTTACTACTCCCGCTGCTGCTGCTGCTGCTCCTGCGACGACTTCCCTTTATGCCCCTGCCCCTGCGACCTCAAAGACTTCTTCCGCTGTGTAGGCCCCGCCATGGCTTTGAAGCGCTCCGGCGACGACCCAAACAGCTTGCTCTGCAACGCAGAAATACCCACAATCTAGCTATCAAAGTAGCGGCTTCCAACTGGGTATGGGAACGGTCTGTGCACGCGTCGTGCCACTAATTGAGTAAACTAAGCAGTCATGGCCAAACTGATGACAGTAAACCCAAAAACGACATAAACAACAACGATGACTTCCAAGAGGCTCCCTGTACGCTCCAGAGGTATTTGAACATGGTTGTGAAGCAATGCTGTCGAGGGTGGGAAGGGCTGAAAGGCTTGGGGTGAGATGTGGTGCCTCTGTTATCTCTTCATCTTGAATTCAGAGTCAAAGCGGCGTGTGTCTCGTGCAGGCAGAGACTTGAACAAGTTCATTCCACTGGAGTTACACATGAGAGAGACGACAACAGTCTGCATTTGCAGTTCCAGCCTTGCATCAGCCAATTCCACTGCAAGTGAGACGAGTACGCAGGCTGCTCAGCCATGCTTGTAGATGAGGAAGCCTGCCTAGAAAGCTGGACACTGAGCATGCATATATGCGCAGACGGAGAGGATTGCACTCAGTATGCAAGACCTTTGCCTTTGTTGCCAGGCTGGCACAAAATGCACGCAGCTCATCTGATTGATTAGGTGCCCCTTGCAGAAACCTGGGGCTGTCGGCCTGCCCAATATGGAAGTACACCAGCTTGTGTGCCTCGCCACGCATGGAAAGGCAGTGCGTGCAGTAGTGATCAAAGGCAGAGTCATCCCTAAAGCTTGTACGCCACTGCCCCAATTCACGGCCGCACCCAGCACCTCGTATGTGACCCACGCGCCAAAGTGCTTGCCGACAAAGACGTGCCAGGCACCCTGGAAGGCCCTGGCATTGGGGGCCGGGTATGACAAGCCTTCGGAGTACTGACATTGAAATGTTTGCGTGCCATTGCGTGCCCAAAGATGTCAATCACAGCATAGTCTCGAAATTGACATTAGACATGCCGGGAGAGCCGCTATAATATACTTGGCTAGAGCAGACGGATACTTGTGCACACCGCTGTGTCCCTTGGAAAAAGGTCCGAGGAGCTTGTCGAACTCCTTCTTGATGAACTGAGCTACCTGCCAAGATATGAGCGCTGGCAAAGAGACTCACGGAGTCAAACTCAAGCTCTGCCTCGCAGAAAGACCGCCTCTCGTTCTTGAAGAGCGAGATGACGCCTTGGCATTCGAAGCGTCCACGCTTAGCGAACATGACATCTGGACAGCTCCTCCAAGCCTGGACAGGAATTGCTACCTCACGGCCCAGTGCTTCCACGGCCGGTGCTCCCTCCCATCCCAAGTGCTGCAGGGTGTTTTTGCCCTGCCATCCACGACCTGAGGCAGTGGCCTTTTTTCGCCATATCTATGGCAAAGTCTACCTGGCTCATTGATACCCAGTCAGCCAAATTCTACAATGCGTCCAGCGACCGGCAAAGAAGAGACGCTTGCTGTTCGGAACAAATCTGACTACCAGGGCCATCAGGGTCTTACTTCAGGACAAAGCTTCAGCAGTATTTGATCTTGGTTGCAGGCACACCTGGCCTCTGCTTTGCTCATGTCCACAATGTGCATTTCTGGTTTCGGAAGCTCCGGCGCATCCTCCCCAAGTAAATGCAACACAGACTAGTTGAGAGCCCCATGGCTTGGAGGGCTGCTAGCGGTGCATCCAGGATGCCATGGAAGGTGCTGGCACATGTCGCAAAAGGAAACGATCTTGTGAGCCCTCATGTTCATCACCCTTTTCAAGCGGCGCCTTCGCGTTCTGCCCACCCTGCGCGCCAGCCTCCACGTTTCATCATGTGTATGCGTCAGAAAGTTGATTTTTTCTCAATTCTTGGATTCTCTTGGTGATCCCACGCTCTTCAGGGTGTTCTAAAAAACTCACATCTTGCAGAGCATGTGACACGAACCCGAATTCCTGCATTGCATGTTTGGAAGTCACGTGAAGAGACGAGTCACAATCTCGCTACAATTACAGGTCCATGGAAACGGCGCACTGACATTGCATCGGTCTTCGTTCCGCTGGTGGCGTTGCTGATCTGCTTAGTGCAGCTTGCAACGTAATCGGGAAATCGTCAAAGGTTCGGGGAGACACATACCTCACGCAATGTCATTACAAGGCCGAAAGCTAGTCCGCATCCAGAACAACATTTTACCAGACAAAAAGGCTGGTCACCACTGCCGCGGGGTTCAATCGATGGTGGGGTGGGACAAGGACAAGCGCTAGGATTGGCTGTGAGGGGGGCAATGCTTTTCCAGGTTGCCAGCGACTTTCTTTTTCTGGCGTCTGCCTGCGCGCCATGCCCAAAAGTTCTCAGCCCGGCTGGCATTCAGTGTTGCACTGCGAATGCCCGAATTAAGAAGCAGGTGCGGCACAAGTCCTGTGCGGCCGAGATGACACGCTTTCTGTGCGCGCACGGGGGTTAACACAAGCGGGTCTTCTTCAACTAGATGTCAGTCTTGCACCAATCTTTCCTGCAATACCATGCTCACGAGGATATCTTGGACTTTTCATACTACGCAGAATATGGGTAGTTTCCATTGTATTTTCCCTTATCCCAATGTGATGAAGGCCTGCATCTGTGCTACTGTGCTCAGGGCCAACTTTTTGCAGCTAAGCAGATTGCAGAGAAAAGCCAAGAAGATGCCCGGGGACAACCTTCGTTGCCAAGAGCTGGAGGTGGAGGAGCACTGCTCCAACAGACCTTCCTGGTTGGGGCTCCATATTGGCTGTGGTCTGTACAGTCCTGTACACTGCAGCATACTGCAGCATGCATTCTGATTCTGGTCGTGTCAGGGGTAGATGGTCAAACCACACCTGTACGGGCGCAGGGACAGGAGCGGGCGCGAGTCGAACTCGGGATCAGTCCAGTTCACTTCCCTCCACCCACGTAGGGCTCCATGGTATGAAGGTGCTTCATCCACCCCACTCCAAGTTCCAACAGCCCAGATCATGTCTGATACGTTCGAGGCGATGGAAGCTGTGATGCCATGGTGCGAGTAGAGCCACCCTCCTATTAACGGCCGCCGGAATCGCAGGAAAACTCTTCCACCTCGCCTCTCCACTGATGCATCACGAATTGTCAAGGACTGATCGGGCTCAGGAGCTCCGGAGTATGCACTGGAGTAGTACTGCTGAACACCTCCTGTCACACTTCCCAAGACAATGTCCGCGCCAGCCATACCGAATCGCTGTTCCCTGCCCGTGTTTGCTTTTCGGGCTGCCAGACTGGACGAGCCACCCAGCGGTCGGAATCCAAGTGACACGTACTCTGCCACATCTGAAAGAGCGGAGATCTGGACGTGCAACGACGAGGTTTGCTCATCTATATCCCACTCCAAAACCAGACCCACCTGCGCGTCAAGGTTGTAGCAATGCTTGAAGGCACTCGCTGCCACGATACTAGTCTCTGGAGGGGGCCGGTAGTAGAAAGCAAAGGGGCAGCGAGCCAGTTCAGTCTGATGCTCATCCCGATTATGGTAGTCGCAATCGAAGTGGGCGCCAGATCCTGGGAATTCGAGGTTGACTGCTGCCACGTATGGAATCCTCTGGAGGGTTGCCCAAACATGCCTTGAGCGCAGCTCAAAGGGTGACCCTGCCATGGAGACTTGGTAGTCCATTCTCGTGCCAGACTCATCCACACGGAGGGTCCAGTTGAAACAGCCGCAGCCCTCCTCCGCGTCAGCTTTGTAGCAGCCAAGGCTGTGGAACGGGAATGGATGCTTGGATTCGTCATAGCCGGGCCACTTCCTCAGGCGCAAGCAATGAATCCAGACGTCAGACACTGACGCACCCTTGTCTTCTGCGTTAAGCCCTCCGTCCTGAGGCAGAAGGTCACCTCGCGGTCTGACACGGTGTGCGCCTGCATGCATTATGGCGACAGATGACTGTTTTCGTTGACTGCACTCCAGGAAACATCCTATCAGAGCTCAACCACTGTTCGCACAACCAAGCGCCACCTGCATCATGGCAACCCGCTTGCGCTTGGGGTCACGCGGCCCAGGGCAATGCAGCCTCAGCTCAGTAACCCATCCAGCGCACTGAAAAGACGTGGATGAACTTGTGCCAGGCCTAGGCTCTACTCGGTAAACGACGAGAGGACTTTTGTCAAATCCATGTGGAGTTACGGCCTTATGGCTTCATCTCAAGCCCGCTCCCCAGCTCGCGTGACTTGGGCATGGGGAACGGTTGGGTACGAGCACCACAGACAGACCCCGTGAAGTCGCTTACAGAATACTTTACGATGTGAGCTACTGTAACCCTTCTACTCGCGAAATCAATAACCACGTGGAGGAGCAGACGCCCACGGTCTTCGCCAGACACTCGAAGGTATGATCGTTGCCAGCTCCAGTATTGCCTCGCTCAAGCAACCATGACAAGTTTTGACAAGCTGTTGGAAAAGATGCATCTCTGAGAGGGCCCTTCTAGGCGTGAGTATAGAAACCAACCATTATAGAGCCTGGCTTTTGTTGGAATCTACATGCGACCTTGATGATGACAGCCTATGATATCCAATCCCTGTGGGCCCCCTCTTCTCCAGGACCGCATCTGGCAAACGTGCCTGAATTCTGGAGATGCATCGAAAGGCAGGTTCGCCTGAAACCTCGGCTACGAAGTTTGATCTCAAAATCAAGATGACCCACTGCCCAGACCATGACGGACCACTACAACTGTTGCAGCAATCCCATCTTTGCCAATTCTGCAGAGTCAGAAAAGTAGGGTCCAGCTGATGACAGCAGCAACATATTCTGCGGCCTTGCTGCAGGTAGTCCTGCTCGGGCAACTTGGTGATTGCAAACGTGAAGTTCTCCGACCAAGGTCCCACAACACTTGCGTAGGGCACACCCTGCCACGTGCCTGAGCTGATTCAGGGTAGAATCTCGATGTTGCAGTTAATACTCAGGGCGAAAAAATCTTACGCCTCTCTGGCATGCAGACATTATAGCCCCTCCCTGTGGCACACTCTGTAGGAGGGGGAATTTGTATTCAAGCGCCTACAGGAGGTTTTCTCAAACTGGCAGTGACCATCGGCACCTGATTGCTAAGACCCCCTTTGAAGGACTGTATAGGCCCAAGGCTTCCGTTTGGGAAAACAACCCACATTATTTAACATCCCGAGAAAAGCCGTCGCACCTTCAAAGCTGGCCGGCAAAGCAAATGGCTCGCGCTGCGCTGTCGCCAGGGGTACCAGGAGCCAAGCGCAGGCCCGCATGGATGCGACACGAGAGGGAGAGATGCAGGCTACGGGGAAAAGAACAGAGGAGTGACAAGCATTGATGTTTCTCGTTGTACAAATATGCAAAGAGCGTTGATGGCTCAAAGCAAACAGAGATACCAGGATTTGCAAGATAGTCAAGCCAAGAAGGCGACAAACAGCAGCTTAAGCCAAGCTCTGCCGATGAACCTGTGCTTCGTCATGCTGAGTTGGGAAGGGGGGAGGGATTTCTTTGGGCCTCGTGGGGAAAACTAGAGGGGTCAATTCCCCAATTCCTAGATGCATGGCCATCTGGAGCAGGTTCACTGGTTGGCACGCACGGTGCCTTCTAACAGTTGAAATAAAGGTGGAGACTCACAGATGCTTTGTTCATTTGATCCCCTTGAAGATGGGAGCTAAGCTGTGCTGATCATTCCAGGGCACCTTCTGATACAGCTGTTGAGAAACGGAGAAAAGGAAACCCGCCTGCGACTGGTCTGCCATTAAGCCGGGAGGTCTCGCGTCCCCGCGCAAGTTGGAAGGTGCGCTTTAAATGCTACTATAGTCTTCTGATATAGGAATCTAGCTGGCTTGGACTTGCTGAAATTAGCTCAAGGCATCTTGACATCTTGAATAGTTACAAGTAGTCACGATTTCGGGCTCCTGAGGGCTCTGCTGATTTCTTTCCTGTTCATGTGTCATTGGCATCCCCCTTTGATCATACCTTGAGCGGTTCATGAAATCAAGCAGACAAGCACCATGTGACACACGCCTAGCAATAGCATCAATAGCAGCCATCAGCCTGATCATCAAACAAATGAGCAAGTCTACCAGCGCAAGTTTTGGAACCATCTTCTCCATTCGGCAAGTCTTTATGGCAATATCCCTTCATTGGGGAGCAACGAGTGGGCAGACAGCCGGCGCAGCGCCGCCCCGTTTAACAGATAGCAAGCTCGCGCGGGGTGGGGAAGCCCTTCAAATCTTGGCAGCGAGCGATTTAAAATTGAACCTGTGCACCCAGAACTTGCGTGCACCTCCAGAGGCACCTTCCTTGTGATATTGCTGCCAATCTGACTGGCTGCTCTGTGATCTCTCCTTGCTAGACTCTGGTGGAGCTGCGTGTTCAGGTCATCAACTGCTGAACTCCTGGAAAGCCATCCCTTCCAAGCCGCCCTCCTAGCTTGAGGCATCCGTCTGGGAAGCCCCCACCTATCTCTGCACAGCCTGGAGCAGTTGAGGATAGATTTGGAAAGCTTCTGACCTGCCCAGGAGACCCAAACCTAAAGCTTACCTCATGGCAGGCGCGAGTTCGCTGCCGCTGCCAGGAGCGCAAGGCCCTCCTCGCACTGCCATCCATGTCTGGAGGCAGGGAGCTTGCCTGAAACATCAGAGTTGTACGAGGTCTGCACAAAACCAGGGTCTGGGTTCGTTGCCCGTCTTGAGTGGTTCAGGCAGGACACAGCGCATCTCAAACTGAACAAGCTGAATCAGTAAATCTGAAGCTGGCCAGTCTGTTCTGTTGGTCTTAGTGCAAAATCAGCGTTGTCCAGCCTTGCGTCAGCTTGGCTTCGCCCATCACAGGTCGCGGCCATACTGGTCCACCTGCACCGCACATTCGCATCAACCTTACAAAATTATTCCAAGCTGATGAGAGCTGGTGGTTGGTAGTCCTCATTGGGAATCTGACGCGTTCTGACACAGTAAACCCTGCAACAGCGCGGCTGCAGGCCTTGAAGGCCTCTTGGAACTGTTCGGCCTGCAGAGACAAGGATGAGAGCCCTGTCTAGGCAATCGGCGTTTGGCAGTCTGGTAGAGTCGTCTTGTCATCGGAGACCGTCTGCTTCGGTCATGGAATGCAAATGCAACATAATCCAGGCCATGTCAAGTGGAACTTCCGGAATTCAAGAGCATGTTCAGCTACCAGCTGTGCGCGAAGACATGCCTCATCTGGCTCCCACTCGTCAAAGTTCATCAAGCCCTCGAAATCACTGTCGCCAAACCTGGCAAAAGAGCTTTGCACGAAAACGAGCTGCACGCAACCCTGGTCGTCCTGAAAATGCATGAGATAGTTTAACGACCTTTCAGAAATTCCGACGGCTTCCGGTCTTGCAACATTCTGTGGGCCGGGCTCATCAAAGGTTGTGGCACCTACCTGCCAGGTTCCAACAGCAGCAAGACGTAGCAAAAAATCGCAAAAGGCACGAAGATCTTCCGCATGCGTCGAGGGCAAGGGCGCCCTCTCGCAAATAAAGCAGATGCAAAGAAAGCTTCCACAAGACCCCGGCTCACGTGAACGACCCGAATGCTGGAATGGCATGGACAGGCCCGCCTTCTTCTTCATGAGCCTGGTGAGGTGCGAGTAGTTCTGTGTAACATGCTCCTGGCAACCAGCTGCGAATCCACGCCATGCATCCAATGCATGGCCCTTTCCACTGTTTTAAGCAGAATTGTGGAATCATGCCCGCAAGGGTCTTGGCTGCTATGGGGTCCTGCCACTTCATAGGTGGAACATCAGGATGTGGGACGGCTGTGTAGTTGACGGCGTCAATTGCAACGCTGCCGTCAGCAGCCCTGCCAGTCCAGCAAATTAATCACAGCGGAGATACAGCTACAACACGGTTACGCTCTGCTTCGTACTGCCAGCGCCGCTATTACAGCAACAGCATGGACAAGAAACCTGCGCCTCCTACACGATTTCTACAACAAAGCGGGTGCAAGAATGATCGCCATTGCAGACGAAAACCAGGCGCCCGCCACAAACTTTGCCAGATGCGCTTGCTCAGCTTCAAGAATGCCCCCTTGTTGTTGCCCGTGTCCAAATAGTTTGGTGCCTGGCGATAGGAGAACATTACGCACAAATCTCTCCTCAGCAGCAGCACAGACAAGGCCCCAGCACTGAAGACACTGAGCAGCTGCTTGTGATCCCACCTAGCATGATGGCGGGTGTGGCAAGAATCGACCAACTTCTGCCCTTTGCGTAACCAGCAACGTGTGATGAAGTACATGCGGATCGCATACACGGATGTGGGTAGATTCCAGACTGCAATGCATGTCCCTTCTGGCATGAAACTTCCACCCTTGGCACGGGACAGCATTATTCTTCTGCCCTCCACCCATTCCTCAATACTATTGAGGAATGGGTTTTTGGGCAGAATACATGGATTTGCCTGATCGTCTTGAAAGTTGGCTAGGGCCATAGTAAGAGCACTGGGGATAGCGCGTGCTATGTAAGTGGCTAGTTATGCTTTTGCTCAAAGATCTGTTTGTTGCGTGGAGGTTTCGTCCGACGATCACGGGAGGGACCAACCCCCAAGTAGCAAGTGCGCTGACAACTTGCAACTGCAGTGCCCATCTGAATCTGTCTTCAACTGGAGGAATGTGGAAGCCAGCCTGTAGCCATCAGCTTTGACCTGCCAAGCTTTCATGGCGGTCTTGAGAGAGGTTACTTGTGGACAGTTACTGTTGGACTAGCATGAAACGCGTCATGCATTGAAGGATTCGATCCACAAGGTTCCATTCATCCTTGCATGCGCATTCTTGTATGGAAGCTTTCACCAGCTACAAATCACTGACCAACTGAAAGCCTCAAATAACCCTTACAACAGCTTGCATGTTCCTCAAAATCATCGAGCACGTTTTGAAATCATGTCATTGTCGTCATGACTATCACCCATCCTCCCTGCCAGCACTCCCAACTACTACTGTTCTGAGGGTTAAGGCTCTTCTTGTATTCAGAGCGACGGCGCAAAGAGGCCTCATGCGATCGAATGATGCACTGCAGGTTGTTCTTCTCACAGAAGCTGGTGGTGACGTCCGGACCTTGGCGTGGGCTTGTCATTTGCTGAAGAAAACAGTCATGAGTCATAGTACAGAAGTCACCAATGACAAGCCACATGACAAACTGAGGCGGGAACCAAACATGTACACACCCTTGCCTTTTCTGTAAGATGGCCCATACCTCAAAATTCAATCTCTCTTGCAGCGCATGGTGAGGTCAGACGAGCGAGAGCGGCATCGCATGTAAAATGTTGGTCCCACCTCTAGGGTTGAGAGCTAAGTGCACAAGCCCAGGCTTCCGACCCATCACCCCCGCGGGGATCTCCCCAAAGGATGTCGATCAGTTTTCTCATGTCGTTGACCTGCGTAAACTGAAACGGAAAAAGCATCCAGTCTGGAGATCTGTCCATCTGCGCTGCTCAGGATTTACTTCGGGAGGCTAAGCAGGCAGTCGACCTTTGCGCGACCAATCTTGAAGCAACAAGGGACCCCAGAAAACACCCGACAACTCCTGTTAATGTGGTCCTCTTGAGCCTTGAAGATCTTGAAGCAACTGATGCATCATTCTGCTAGCAGCCACCTGATTACTTACAATTTCCTGTGTGGCCTCCTTGTCCGTAGTGGTAGGCCCAATAGACTGTCCATACCTCGCCAAAGCAAACCAGCACATGGGCCAGCACATCGCGAGATCATTAGGCCATCTTGCTTTGGCATCTCTTGTGCGAGAAGGCTCTCCCAGACTTGCGGCGTCCGGTTGCAGCTTACCAACAAGTTCAATAGGGCATTGCGGCGCACGACTCCGGGGTGATCTCAAGGTACCGATCAACGTTTGCAATCTCCTGGACATGCAGCAACCGACATGCTGTGGCAGAGGGCCCATCAGCAATCTCCGATTGATCAGCTCTGCTCTACATCTTGACTCAACAACCTATTGCCCCAGCAACTCGACAATCCGGCTGCATCCTCGAGCGTAGGCAGCACGGTCATGGGGATAGCATCCGTGGGATCATGCCTGGAAACTCATGACAGTTTCGCTCAACACTTAGACAAAACCACTTCCTACGTGTGAAACTCATTGTCGACAGCAGAGTGACAGAGAGCCGTTTGCGTTGAACGTTTTAGTAGACAGACCAGCTCCTACACCGCTGAAGTGCTGCTACTTCTAGGCTGCAAAGCTAAACGCGGCGGAGGTTTGGGTGCAAGAGGGCTCTGCTGGGCCCCCAGTCGTGCGGCTACAACAAAAGATAGATGAGATGGATGACGGAGGCCAGCCTGCGAGCATTGACGTGATGACTTGAAATTTGCGCGATCTGTTTGTTGAATGAGGGCTTACTCGAAGCATTGCTAAGTGCCTTGATCCCAATCAGGCCGCAAGGCCATGCAACTTCAGGCTGTGAAAGATGATGCTAGATGATACTGCAAAACTCGGTGATTCTCGTACCATGCTGGTGGACAAGCTCGGGACTGCATAGCCGGGTGCAAGGCGTCTGTCCAGGCATCCAGATCCTGGGATCAGGGCCTCAGCGGATGCACATCGTGAGCCGCATGTTTCGGATTGCCAGCGCTTGGCTTGAAGCTGCATGTGAGCGTGCGTGTGTGCGCAACCAGAACATGGCTTCTCTCCGTTGGGCTGGGATGGAGACCTGGGCCCAAGCTGTAGACTACCCACCCCAAGACCCAAGACGAAATCCTCGTCCCTCTGAACCTTGATGCCTGCTATCAAGCTGAAGTCAAGAGTATCACATGCCGGCCTGGGAGACCGCCATGCAGGACCAGAACCTGCAGTCCAGCTCAGAGTTGCGGTCTTTGTTAATGGCTTTGGCAACTGAAGGAGTCATGGTCTGGCTTTCGTTTCACGTGGCTTGTTTGAGAAAGACGTTTGCAGCCCTGTAGGCCTGACATGTCAATCTTTGTGTTCGTTTGCTGATATTCCAGGTATTTCACACATCAATCCCTCCTGACCGGCCCCTAAATGAAGTGTGATGCCAATTTGAGGGATCCACTTCCTGCAAACCCATACAGTAGCAAAGCAAGCTTGCAGCACGATTTTCACGCAAAACCTTCGTAACACCTTCTCCATATCCTCCCCCCCACAACCATCATTAATTGATGGGATCCATGCTCTAAACAGCAGAAACAAGGGCCATGCTTGCCAGGAGGCCCCTTTCAAAAGGCCCCTTGCACACAATTAGTTTACTGGAAAAGCTCACCTTGCCATCCACGAGATGGGCGAGTGGCAGGTTCCGGAACGCCTTCCGCGAGCTGGACAACTTACCGGACCCAAGAGCAGTCAGTACTGATAGCACTCATCATAGTAATAGTAGTAGTAGTAGTAGTACTACTACTACTACGACTACGAATACCAATAGTACTAACTGTAATAGTAATAAGAATAGTAATTGTAGTACGAATAGTAATACTAGTAGCAGTAATGATACATAACTTCGTTGTAGGTTCGCGTTGTGGAAGTTCCTAGAGCTGCTCTCTAGCAAGCTGGGCTTAGCTCTGAGAGCTACCAAGCCGGGCCCCAAAAAAAGCTCCCCCAGTCTTTTCGTTGGCCAGTCAATACAGCTAGGCTGCCTCTGAGAAGAGATTGAAGAGCTCCATATCCTTGAAACAACACAGTATTGCAGCTTTCACTTGCTCGCAACCTGCCGTGAACGTTGCAGAAGTCTTACCTTCCACACAAAAGTCGGCTGCCAGGAGTTCAGCGAGTCTTAAGGGGCAGGCGTACTTGGCCCCGCATTCACCACAGAAGCCATAGAGGATGTTAGTCTCCTGATGCATCAACAACTGCGTTTTCTACAAGATTGCCACTCGCGTATGCAACCCATAAGATCTCAAAAGAATGCCTGCGCCACCGGCAGCTTCGAGTCAGCAAGCACAAGTGATATTCAAAGAACTAAGCTGGTTTCTGCGCGGGAAGAGAAGCCGTGATTTGTTGCCGCGAACATGGTAATTCCAATGCCTACATGAACTACTTTAGCCTACAAATGCTTACAACCTAGTGGAACAGCAGAGCATCAGCTCTTGCACGGCTGTTTCTGTGCAGTCTGCATGTCAGCACACATCGACATATCCGCTGGCTCCAGCATCTCGTGGTTGCCGCGGTTCAGGAAGACAGACTGCGGATCCTTAGATGCATCTCTCTTGTGTATGTATGTGAAATCTCGAGAGAACTGGAAAGATACTCTTACCATGAAGCCTGTGATGGCTGAGCTGGATGCTTGGAGCGTTGCAGGTAGTTACGAGCAGGATAAGATGTTTCACAGCCAAGCAAACCTGAGGCCCTGTGTGACGGCGCGTACGCAAACCAAGGAACTGCAGCTCTTGCCGCTCAGCGGCCTTGAGCTTCAGCGCGAAGATCGACAAAATCACCTGGTCAGGCTTTCCGATGATCACGGAGACCAGGCTCACATCAAAAAACAGAAACAGCAAGAACAGCAAGACCCACAACACAGGAGACTGCAGGCTTGCACTTGAGCTGCTTCTCTATCCTGGGTCCCGCCCGCAGCCGGCCTCAATGGACCAAGAGCCTCGGTCAACGAAGTCCCCGTTGAAGATGAAAGGCGCGCTCGCAGAGGGCTTGCCCGTCTGCAGGGAACATAAGGGGATTTCTCGACATCAAGATCCTTTCCTAGGGACACTTCCGCATTTGGGATTTCCGCTGGAGACAGAATTGATTGGAAGTCATACAACCCCTATGGGAGTAGCCCAGGGCCAGCTTAAGTGACCTTGGTTACCCTGTGCAAGAACGAACAGTTCTCATCTCATAGCCCATCCAATCCTTGATGCAGTCGTGCTGTTACTGCAAGGTGCCTTAGTCGCCAAGAAATTTCAAATTTCTCGAATTGCTGACCAAGGCCGCCGTAGACCCTGTGGGGTAACACCTTTTTAGCCCTCCGCCCTTGCCTGCGATACCTAGACCCTAAACCCTCCAACCCTCCAACGGAAACCAAACCGGCCATGCTCAAGAGGTTCAGGAAGTCCCAGTACTGGCCGTGCAGGTCTCCCACCTTGATTCGGGCGTCAGAGATCTGTGAAAGGAGTAACAAGTAGCCCGGCATAGCCCGGCAGTAGCCCTGAAGGCAGACCGGGACCTCAAGGGAACCTCAAGTAGCAGAAGTAGTTGCAGCCCATGGCTCACCATTCGGTTTTTTGACTACGTAGGTCGCCTTCACCGTGCAGAGGTCTCAGGATGAGAAGCTGAGGAAATGGCCACAGTAAGCTGGCCTCCAGCAGGAATTCCGGCCTTGGAAAGAAGCTCTGTTGAAACACACACAAACCAATACAGTTGCCTCCAAAAGCGAAGAGACTTACAGGGAAAGCTCAGAGGCTGAAGTAGTCCAAGCCCCAAGCCTGGCCAAGCGTCTTCTCCGCCCGAAGGGTGTCAATGATGTCCAACCTAAGTCTATACTGCACCATCTTGATTCAATGCTTACGTCGGTGGCGCAAGGTAATGCAAGAATCAAAAACAGTCAGCCCCTTGAAGCCGGACAGAACCTGAGCTACCTGCATCTTGCGGACCATTTCCAGGGCTTTGTGCGAAGAACCCCACTAGCTTGGGGAGTCAGAAGAGATATCGCTGCCAGGCTTAGGTATTGTGTGTTCGTCCGTCTTAAGGCAGACAGTTGCTCTAAAGCTCGCCCGAGCGACACCATGAGGTAGGCATCCTGTCGCGCTGGGTGGGTGGGAGTTGCGGTACTTGAAGCATGGAGTGCTTTCTGTCATTCAGAGCCTGCTTGAGGCGCCTCCTGTTGGGGCTGCATGCAAAGCCCGAAATATTCTGCTCATCCCGAGATGGCTTGCAAGTCTTAACGTTTCAAAAGGACTGTGACATTACGGCGCTGTTGAACTCTTTTCATGCTGCCAGGCAGAACGCAAGCCCAGGCACTTTACCGGTGATCAGCAAACACCGGAACCCCTGCTGACTGCCTATGAAAAGGACGCTGCATGCTTGCTGCACCAGAACCGCAGTCTCCTTCTTCGGTAGCAGCTGTCCATCCTTCTGCATTGCCAGCATCGCCTGGCAAGTCAGATGCTGATCGACGACTGTAGCCAGATCCTCCATGGCACTCTTGAATGGCTTTGTGCTCAGGCAGCGACGTTAATGAAGTTGTCGTCCAGACTGGCTGGGCCTGTGTATCGTGGCCTCGCGTTCTGTGAAATACTGAAGTCCGCCAAAAAAAGACCCAATCATCTCACGGCAAAGTACTGACATCATCTGTAATATGCAAGAGAGCGTAAATACTCTGAAGCTGTGTGATTTCTAGTCGCAAAATGTCCTCAGGACTGGCTTTGCAGACTCCAAGTTCGACACACTGAGCCCAAAGCCCACTGTAGCCAGGTGGGTCTGGAAAGCTCTGAGCTCGCTGGCGCTCGCCCTCGGGAGTTGGGAGAGGCCTATCCTATTGGGCTTGGACACCAAGCATGGCAGACAACATCATCACCATGGTGCCACACCCACAACCCACCCTGGCCCCCACCAAGGCTTTTCGGCCCAAGGCACAGCCAGCTCAGTGGGGCTCCAGCCAGTCAACCGCCTGCCATGAGATTGTCAGAACCCTATACTTGAACTGTTGAGTGCAGCGACATCCATTTCAGAGTGTTGTCTGACAAGGGATCTGCGGGACAGAGCTGAGGAAGCAAGCCACCAGATATTTAGCGTCTACAAGCACGGCGGCTGTACGGCTGCCACTCGCCGCCCTGCTCGCAAGTGGCAAGTGCTGTGCTTCTGCAGGTCTATTTCGACTAAACCCTAGCTGTGACCGGCCACTGACAGAAACTCGACTCTTCGAAAATTGATTCGACTGTCTCAAGTCTTGCCTAATTAGGGAGCTGGCCAGAAATGTTCACACAGCCTGCCATCCCTCCGTATTGCTATAACTGGAAAAAATTGCTTGACAGTAGATGGTGCCAGTTGCTAGCATGGCCAAAGTGACCTGCATCTCTTCATGCAAATTGCGCACCTGCGCCCGGTGCACCTTCGGCGACCTCTCGATCGGCCTGATCACGCTTTTTGTCAGATGTCTACACACAGAAGCACAGCATCGCGCCCTGCACTTTGCCTTCGATGAGCAAGACTTCTGCACACCTACCTTTACCTACCTTTGGTGAAGGAAATCTTGTGCCATCTGATCTGCGTAAGTCCGTGAACAGTTTCAACGGGTTTTGGGTACTCAGTTGGGATGACGCATGAATTACTCCGCATCAAAGGGCACACAGCATCCTGAGCCTCAACACAATGCATGAAGCGCACCAGCGGTCAAAATGCGAGAGTCCGAGAGCACCGCAACAAACTCAAGAAAAAGCAAACACCAAACATCACTAGGCCTTGCAGGCCGCGTAGCCCGGGCTGCCCCTGCACCCAACACCGCAGCCAGGCCGGCAGCCAACGCGGCTTGAGATGGAGCGCCTGGAAGCCGGTGAGGGCTGGAGACTGGGCAGGGCATCGCATCTCCTGTGTAGCGTTTGCTTCACCTGAGTAGCGATTTCGTATGGTTGAACCTAGTAAGATTATGTGTTATAAGATGCTATACCGGAGAAGGAGGACATAATCTTACTCTATATGAGCGCTTATTGGGTACTATAGTATCCCCAAATAAAATTAAATACTACTCACCTGATATGGCTTTCCAAAGGGCTCATTGGCAGCCAGACGAGGCAGAGTGCATGCAACTACTGAGTAACTGCAAACGCTCTGGAACTCTGCAGTCCGAAGCCAGCGTGTAGAGCAAAGGTTGAGCACTGGCCTTCCATCGTTATCCCTCTTTCAAGTCTTCGAGGATAGTCTTTAAAGCCGTGAGCGCAAATCTAGATGCCGATGTGGAATTGCTGAAGGCCAAGCCACCTTTTCATTACACTGCAACCACCCAGAATTCTTGATGTACAAGCTGCTCAGACATATCCTGTATCCATCGTTTCACAAGGATAGTCTGTGGCCAGCACCTGAGGCAGGTTGTGCTGAAGGTGTGCGTCCTTTCTCAGCGTCACAGAAAAGCTGAGATAAGCCTGTGCTGCAACAATGAGCAGCTCCACCCGGACTACTGCGCGTGAGAGGTCAAAACGTCCTTGAGTGGCACGTAGCGATGGCCTGCCAGGAAAGAAGGCTGCATTCCATCCCAAGATCATCTCATTAACATGCATGGCTGACCTTTCCAAGCTACTAATACTGCTGAAGCACCCGGCAGATGAAAGGAAAACCTGCCTGATGAATTGCAAGATATTTTGCATGACCGCACTGTCAGTGAGGGTAAGACCTAGACCGGCGATCTACGAATACAGGGGTTACAGAAGATAAGGAGATCCAAAAACGCTTGCTCAAAAGCCATGAGGCTTCAGGCATTCTGACGTGTACTTCAGCATAGGAGTTTCTATGCAGAAGAGTTTCAGAAGACTTGTGAGTCAGTTTGAGAATCCTATCTGATGACTGAACACAGGAAGGCTAGCACAGAAAGAAGCGCAAAGGCAAAAGGACTCAACACCCTCACGCATCAACTGGTTCGTCCCTCTGCTGGTCTAAGTAGTGTGAATAAACTTGACGGCCATAAGAAACTATCCAAAATCATGATATCTATGGCTTGTTGCTGGCGTTCCTCTTCTGGCTTGTTGCAGTGCCTGGGGCGACGAACCTCAGAGCACAGCGGAACTGCGTCAGCGCAAGCCAGTTGATCATTACTTTCCCCTTGGCAGCCTCTGTAACTACTCAGCACGCCTCAGGTATGCAAGTCACTGTCACTGGTGCCGGTGTGGGTTCGTAAAGGATAGCTAGTGAGCCTCCAACCTTTGCCTGCCACGTCTTTCTGGCTTTTTGTTTTTTTTGTCTGGATTGCTTGCCTACATGCTGACGTCATGTTGCGACACATCCCGGTGCAGCCATGCATGCGATTTGTACCCAACATAGGTGACAGAGCCCCAAGACATAATAGTCAGGATCTAAATCGGCCATTCCACTTGTCTGCATGTTCTTCGGCTTGCGTGCAACCTTCCCGAAATTTGCGAAATCAGTATCCAGTCATGGAGTTGCTTCAGCCGGTTTCAGGTGCCCCGACGCCCTCTCCAGCACTGCGGGCGCTGACAGCACCTCAAACACACTGCAACTCAAGGGCGATGCATGATAGATGCTGACCCCACACTTGGGCAAAGCTGCTTTCAAGCTGTTTTGTTGAGCTGGCATGCCAACTGCCAGTACACCGGATTGCTCAGCAACTCGGTCCTGCTGCCTGCAGTGCAAAATCAATTACTTCGTCTAGGCCTGCTGCTGAGTAACAAAATTCAGTAATGCTGACGGGCAGAACCCAGTGGAAGGGCATGAGGCAGGGTTTTGGATGATGAGAGTTACCCACTCCTACTAGCAAGTATGAATAACTACTGCTCCCCTCAAAGCCGCAAGATCACTTGGGTTTTCGTGACGGGGCACCACAAGGCTCGCTGCCCCGATGCCGCAAAGATCCTTGCGCCTCGGCATGGCCTTAGAAGGCTCGCACTGCTCAAATCTATGCACGAGGTATCACGAGGTGCTAGAGGCTGCTAGAGCCCATGGTAACTCCAGGAACAATGGTCAGAAATATCAATGCGCTCCGCAATCTGACGCAGACGGGAGGCTCAGCAGCCTATCAGACGCGGAGTGTAGATTCAAACGCTGAGCCGGAATGGATGGTTCGGAAATCTCCAGAGTCTGCCTCTGCATGTGTATTCGTGGCAACTTGGTGCCATGCCTACTGCTGACACTGTGATCATGAGGCACGTCAAGAATTGCTGACAGACTACTCTCGCTCGTGTGGACTGGCCAGCTGGCAACGAACCCTGCTGTTCAATTTCTTAAAAGGTTCAACTTACGAAATGCTTGACATACCCATGCCGCTGTGAGAACATCATCCGCCATTTTCAGAGACGCAAACTGCCAGACCCAAGAACATTCGTACAAACCTTGAGAGGTTTTGGTCGAGCTGGCTGCTTTCTCCTACACATCTCAAGGCATGTCCGTGCGTCCGTGGATCCTAAGGCATCTAAACTGGTATGGCCATGACTACCAATATGGTGAGAACTTCGCTGGAAGCCAAGTATGGCTTCAAAGAAGTTGCCCTTCGTAGCACTAAACCCAAATGTATCTGAAACCTCCCTGCAAAACTCCGGTACTTACGAAGCAACTTACATTGGCTATCTCTTGCCCAATCAGAAGCATCAGGCCATGCTCCTAGCAGCCCTCTGATGCTTCTAACTGGAGTTCTAGCCACGTCTCTTACAAAGCTTGTGCCGAAAGAAGGGCAACTTTCGATTCGGGTTGAGCCGATCTGCGTGTCCCCAGCAGTGCCACCCGGAACAAACAGACCCCGATGCAACGCTCAGAGCCTGGATCAGTTTCGAGAAAACTTATTTCAGTTCGTCCATAATCTGGCGACCTGCAACTTCAACTCTATACCATATGGGAATACCCCTTGGTTCTATCAAGTCAGAAGGTACCGATCCTGGCATCTCGACAGCATCCTTCGCGATCTTCTAAGGTGAGTGCCGCAGTCCGCATTCTACTTTCGTCTACTTGTTATCCTCCCCTTTCTTGCCCTTATTGCATGCGACTCCAGGCATTGAACAGCTGCGGCTGAACCCCAAACAGCACGGAAGTTCAAACGCACAAAGAGGATGAAGAACAGGGCAGGGGTCTAGCTGTATGAAGATGTTGTTAGATCTTGGTGGTTCGGGAGGATACACCGCAGTTCAAGAGCCTAGCACGCGGCTTACCCGCCATACCGTCTGTCGCTTAGGGCACTGTTTGCGCTGCTGCGCAGGGTTGCCGTAGAGGCTGTCAGACTTGCTGGCGATTTGCGGCAGCACCCAGGACTTCTACGCACGGGAAGGCGAAGCGGTAAAGCAAGTTTCCCTCATCAGCAGCTGTTCCGCGTGCGGTGTGCTAGCAAGCTTTCTCAATCAAACTTGAGTCTGCACAAAACAACCCTGGCAGACAGTCCTGACTCTCAGCGGCTTACTTCCAGAATGCTGGAACCAAGAAAAACTTGCAGTAGCACCAGAAGCAGTGATGGCAGTTATCAGCAACAACAACAGCACTGCAAAGATCGATAACAATAAGATACATACATGCATGCATGCATGCATGCATACATACATACATACATACGTACATACATACATACATAC